GCCCAGAGCAGACGGAGGGCGGCTTCAAGGTGCCTCCTTTCCCACAGCCAGCTTGCCCCTTACCAGCAGTGCGTGAGTTTGAAAGGTGCAAGAAGCCCCAAGTCCCTCGGGGAAGCAGTAGGAGAATCTTTTTTAAAGTTACTTTAATGGTTGTGTTTCTTTCTGATTATAAAATTAATACTATTGACTATGGAAAGGTTGGAATTTCTCTTAGGAAAAGTGTAAGAAAGAAAACAAACCATCATGAACCCCCCATACGTTTAGGTTTAATCATATGAAATTGTCATTTTGGTTGGTCAAAAATGGTCAGATATCAACAATTTCACATGGATCAGCCAAATATGAGCATTTTGCTGTATTTCCTCAGTCTTTTTTCTACGAACAAGGACTACTTTGAAAAATGGGGGCTTCTCAGCTTTTGGGGTAAATTATTATTTACATTTTCATGTTCCGTTTCTCATCCCAGCCACCCCCAAAATCCAATTATCCAGTTGAATGGACACTAATAATAAAATGAGGCAACTCATTAAGATGAAAATTCTGTAGTAGATTTAAATTTCATACAATGATGAGGATCATAAATATAGGTCCTCAGTTGGCTCTTTTATTTTAAAAGGTAAATTAAAAATGATTTTTGAATTACAGGAACTTCTTAATTACTAAAATTCAAAAGAATTCTTCTCTAGTCTTCACCCCTTTCCCCCTTTGCATTGATTACATTTCTCCTAAGGAAATGTCTGTGAACTGAGTCATTCATTCCACAAATATCCATCCATTAAACACTTGCTGTATGCCACTCACCATTCTGAGTTTTGGGGACACAGACTAAAGCCCCTACTGTAATGCAGCTCAAAATCTAGCAGAAGACGGGCCATAAACGACAAATAGAATGAATAAGCATATTACATCATGTATTTTAGGTGCTTTAATGACTAGAGTTGGGGTGCTGGAGGAGGGGTCGCAGTTTTAAGGGCCACATTTGGACAAAGACCTCAAGCGGGGGCAAGCTACCCAGTTATGTGGGGGAAGAGCAAGCCAGGCAAAGGGAGCAGCCTCTTGTATGAGGAACAGCAAGGAGGCCTGTGGCTGACCTGAGCACTGGAGAGAGAGAGAGGAGTAGGGACGGGAGAGGGTCAGCATCAAGGGCCCTGAGACCGGGGCCACTGTGGGGGGTGGGACTTTTCCTTGCAGTGAGACAAGGAGCCACTTGGAGGGACTTGGTGGGGCATGAGGTGACCTGACTACTCCTCTCGCTGCTGTGTTGAGAGCCAGCCCGGGCTCCAAGATAAAGCAGGGAGCTGACCAGAGGCTAGTCTAGTGTGTGGGTAAGGAGGAGATGATGTGGCCCAGACTGATAATAGCAGTGGAAGCCACCAGAAGTGGCTGGAGTCTAGGTGTCCGATGCAGGCAGAGCTGATGGGATCTGATGGAAGGGCTGGATAGAGAAGGGTAGAGAAACAGAGGAGGCGCAGTTTACTCCCGCATGGCCTGATCTACTGGACAGACAGAGATGGGGAAGGCTGGGCGGGGAAAGGGCAGGAACTTGATTGGGCCATGTGGAGTTCAAGGTGTTAGGCATCCCGGAGGAGCAGGCTATAGCTGTCAGCCAGCAGTTTGGGTACAGAGTTTGGAGGATGCAGGAGAGGGTTGGGCCCCAAGTGTTTATTTGAGACACCTTGATGTACAGTTTGTATTTAAAGTCATGAGGCAAGGGACCAGGTCCAAGGACTGAGCCCTGGGACCCTCTCACATAAAGAGGTCAGGGAGAAGGAGCAGCCCCTGAGGTCAGAGGAACACCAGGAGAGCTGTGTGCCTGAAGCCAGGGAGAGGGAGGGTTTCCAGGAAGTGGGAGAGAGTGACCCCTGGTCAGAAGCTGCAGCCTGAGGATGAGACCCCACCACTGGAGGTCACTGGTGACCTTGGCAAGAGAGTTCTCTGGCCAAGGAGGAGAATCTCTGGCCCATCCCTCTCCCGCACCCTCCAAACTCTATACCCAACTGCTAAAAAAAAAAAAAAAAAAAAAGCCCCCTCTGGGCAGAGAAATTAGAAAAAGGCAAATGCAGTTCAGAGTCCCATGGCTGGGCCAGCAGAGGGTAACTGACTGTCCTCCGGCCCAGCACCCGTGTGCGGCGGCCCCAGCTAGCCAGCCAGTCAGCGCCAGCACACTGGGCTCTCAGCGCGCCGCCGAACAGGAGGGACTGTGGGCGGTGTCCCGGGTCTGGACACCTACAAGTTCCCTGTCTCTAGAGGGCGCCCGCACGCACCACTGATGCCACACACAAAGGATCCTCAGAGAGAGGGCCAGAGGGCTGAGAGTGGCGGCAAGATTGGGCTCAAGGAATCAGCTCATTTCCTCTGCAGGACGGCTATTTCTATCCTTTAGAGAAGCCACCAGCCTTTCGCTGCGTGGCCCAGTGCGACCTGTGACTGTGTGTCAGGATTTGTTGTGAGCCCGTGGTTAATTGGAGGTTTGGTGGGGAGGAGGAGGTTTTTCTCAGGTTACTGAAGCTGTGTCTCTTCTGCATAGGGGCTCTGACTTCTGGGCTCTGAGCAAGGCGCTGCTAACTGAGCCACCTTCAGACACACCCCATTCCCCGGGACTTAGTCTGTGCCAGTTGAGGCACAGAGGGTCCTTGCTCACCCTAGACTCTCACTGGTTTCCATTTGTGTGTTCCCCTTATTTTGGTTTTCCCCCTGATTTTTTTTTCTCAATTAAAAAAATTCTAGGGCGCCTGGGTGGCTCAGATGGTTGGGCGTCTGCCTTCGGCTCAGGTCATGATCCCAGGGTCCTGGGATCGAGTCCCGCATCGGGTTCCCTGCTCCTAGGGAGCCTGCTTCTCCCTCTGCCTCTCTCTCTCTCTGTCTGTCTCTCATGAATAAATAAATAAAATCTTTAAAAAAAAAAATAAATAAATAAATAAAAAAATTCTAGAGTAAAACCTGCCCATCGAATAGAACAATATTAGAAGGAGCCAGAGTAAGGGGTAGTAGGGCCCCTCCCCCAAGCTCTACTTAACCCGGGAGGTGACCACTGTTACCTCTTCTGTGCATTTCAGGGCAGTTCAGCATCCGCAACCCCCCCCACCCCGAGTCTCTGCAGAGGCAGCGGGCACCATGCAGTCTGTCCCTCTGCTTGCTCTTCCACCAGCAGCCTGTGTTGGGCTTCATTCCACATTCTGTCCATTCAGCCTGCTGCCTTTTCCCCAGAGCAGTGGCGGCCCCCATCAGTACTCCTGGTCCATTGCTATTGATTTAGGTGGTTACTGGTTTGAGGTTGTTAAAAACAGTGTTCTTCTGTCGAACCTCTTTGCTTCTGTGTCTTCCTGCTTTGGAGAAGATTATATCCAACTTCCTACCAGTGGAATTTCTGAGTCCAAGGTTAGGGACCTTTCGTTTTGAGTCATGCTGCCAGATTGGCCTCTTGAAGTGCGCCCGTTTACCTGCCCACCAACCCTAGGACCTGTGAGGGCATGCTTGTTTCGCTTGTTTCCCCCAACACTGGGCATTACTGGTCTTAGAGCATGCCAGTCTGGAAGGTGGTAAAAGTTTCCCACCTGATGGCATAGTTTAGCTGACTGCCTTAGACCACGGAGAGCATTGTTTCTCTCTTTAGAAGGCACTCTTGGGTGGGAAGCCTCCATCAAGCAGAGAGGCCCAGGGGGCCAGACCCCAAGGTCCTGGCTCTGAGTAGCTGCTGCCCACTGGAGGCCCTTGACGGGTCTCTTGTTCTTGTTGGCTCACGTCTAAAAGACACCAGAAAATCTTTGATCGAGTCTAGCCATGGTTCTGTCTAGGTCTGATCTAGGTGCATAGTTCTAGCAAGGTGCTGAAAGTTTTTTGACCACAACTTAGAGCTGGAGATGAGTGTATCACAGTGACTGGCACGTGATAGTGAAAGTTGCACAAAACAGTACCCCCCCCCATCACATGTGGCATGCTGATATCTTCTTTATTTTTTTAAATGCTGGTCCTAAGAACTGGCACCTTTCTGGAGTTCTGAGGAGCACATCCTGGGGTTGGGGGATCTGCAGTGGCCTTGGAGCCTTGGAAAATGCCCTCTACAGAGAAGTCCTTCGATGGGGCCCTCAGACTGGGTTGTGAAGGGGAAGCTGCCCAGGAGACCCTGGCTTGACCTTCTCAGCTCTCCCAGGGCTTTTCCCCTTAGGCCGCTCCAAACCTGTGTCCCTGTGTGGGGTACACAGTTCCATCCAAACTGAAGTGCAAGCCAAGCCTCGGCTGTCTCCCTCCTGTCACGCACTGGGATGAGGGGCACAGGAACAGGGTAGAAACCCGGAAGGAGGGCCTGGAAAGCCCTGCCCCCCCCACCCCGGCCCCCTGACAAAGCTTCTGTGAAGGGTCCCTCCTCCCCTCCCTCTGCCTTCTGACTTTCTCTTGCTTTAGGTTGAAGGGGTGGCCCTTCTCTAATTATAGTACTTGCCTGGCCTAATTACAGCCTGGGCTAATTTGTTAATGGTTTTGGGAACTGAGAGCCTTTGCCTTGGGCAGTATCACGGCCCCTGGGTACATGCTGGGGCCTTTGCCAAGGAGTGCAGGGTGAAGGAATGTGAGTGGCCCTGGAGGCCCCGTGAGCAACATGGGCCATCTGAGGAGCCCCATGTACAGTTGACACACACACATCTCCAACCTATGGCTCACTGTCCACAGGTTGTCATTGTGGGTCTTTCCCTTCTCCAGGACTCTCAGGAGACCCTGATACACGGCACCAGGCAGGATCTTGCCATTTTCATTCTAATGAAACAAAAGGTCTTTAATGAAATGCCTTAAAATTAAAAAAAAAAAAAATACTTTTGGTTTTCCTTTTCATAAAAGCCGTATCTGTTTGCAGCAGAAACTTCAGGAAATACAGAAAAGGGGAAAAAAAAAAAACACCCATGACCCCACCCCAGTGACTCATGACCCCAAATGTGTTAATGTTTTGGTGGCGGTGTCTCATGACTGGGCCCTTTGCTCTTGTCTGACTCATTGCATCGTCCACCCAGGGAAATCCCACCTGGCCATCGTGCAGAAGGTGAACAACGAGGGTGAAGGTGACCCCTTCTATGAGGTGCTGGGTCTGGTCACCCTGGAGGACGTCATTGAGGAGATCATCAAGTCTGAGATCCTGGACGAGTCGGATATGTACAGTGAGTTCCAGTCTTTCCATTGCCCGGAGCCCCTTTCCTGCTCATGCCTGGGTGTCCCTAGGTGGGAAGGCCACAGTGCAGGGATGTGGGAGGCCCGGCCCCCTGAGGCCCAGGAACTGGATACCTCACGCTGGCCAGGGTGAGCAGCGGGCTCACCCCTCGGATCAGTGAAAGCAGGCCACCTTTGTCCCCCCTGGCCTTCGTGCCTTGGCATCGAGCCAGGGACCCCGCCTTGATGCAGACACTGCTGCTTGTGTGTGGAAGAGGGGACTGCAGAGCTGGGAGCTGGCGGGCAGGTTCTAGTCTGTTCAGGAGGCATCAGGGACAGTGTTCTCAGTTCTAGATTCTTTCTCTCGCAGCGGACAACCGAAGCCGGAAGCGAGTATCTGAGAAGAACAAACGTGACTTCTCAGCCTTCAAAGATGCTGACAATGAGCTCAAGGTGAAAATTTCACCTCAGCTACTTCTGGCTGCTCATCGCTTCCTGGCCACGGGTAAGAGGAAGAGGAGGGCCCTCAGGTGTTGGTGGGATACAGTCCCGGAGGGGGTCTTCTGGGCCTCTGGCTACTTCCTCCCATGGAACAAGGGGCTGTGGCAGGTGAAAGGTGCAGGGAAAACGTGGCTGCCTCTGAAAGGGGGCGAGGCGGCTTCCCTCCATCCCTGGGGTGCTCCCTGTGGTTTGTTTTCTCTGTTGATGGGTTGTCATTGCAAACTTCTAGGAAGCATTCAAGTTCTGAAAATAACCACTGGGAGAGGGGGGAGGCCAAAAAAAAAAAAAAAAAAAAAACCACTGGGAGTACCTGGGGTGGGCACTGGGGAGCCCCTGGATGCTGGGGAGGGGGAGGGAGGAAGAGGCCCTTCCACATGCTGTGGGCCCATAGCGCTTACCTGACCCGTGTCCTCAGAGCCTGAATCCAGCTCTGTTCTCGTCACTCCCCCTCCTCTCTGCCTGCATGCCACATACCACGCTGGGGCCAGCAGGGCTTCACCTCTAGACCAGTGACATTCCTCTCTTCTCACCCCTGACTCAAAGCCCCTTTGGGGACCTAGGTGATTGATTTGAAAAGCTCCTGCCTATTCCCTTCCTCCCCCCCAATCTGACTTCCTTCCCAACGCTCACTTGCTAAATTCTCTATTTTCCCTGCCAGGATGTCGATGATGGTGCTAATGATAATAATGATGGTAACATTTATGAAGCACTTTCCATATGCCAACTATGTGTCTAAGTGCTTTACATGTATTACCCCTTTAACCTACCATGACCCTACCAAGTGTATTTTGTTGTTGTTTTGTTTTTTAAGGAGTCTCTACCCAACATGGGGCTCTAACTTGTGACCTCGAGATCAAGAGCCATGTGCTCCACCGACTGAGCCAGCCCGGCGCCCCAACCCTATGATATTTTTTCTTTTTTTTTTTTTAGAGTTAGTTAGTTATTTCAGAGCGAGACAGAGGGAGAGAGCATGAGCGGGGGAGGGGCAGAGGGAGAGGAAGAGACTCTCGAGCTGGCTGCAGAGCCTGATGCAGCCTCGATCTCACCACCCCGAGATCATGACCTGAGCAGAAACCGAGAGTCAGATGCTTAACCGATTGAGCCACCCAGGTGCCCAGCCCTATGAAGTTTTCAATCCCATTTTTCAGATGAGGAAACTGAGACACAGGTTAAGTAATTGGCCTAAGGTCATGCACTGTCAGCGCAAGAGCCGCTGTTCCAGCCCAGGCAGGCAGACCCGAGTCTAACCAGTCTGGATCTAAGGGGTGCTGCTTTCCCACAGAGGTGCAGAACCGAAGGGAAGGGTGGCCTGGGCAGTGAGCAACCACAGTGACTGTGTTCCTGGTGCTGCCCGGCCAGGGCCCCCTGTGAAGTCTTCTTCTGTCTTCCTACAGAGGTTCCCCAGTTCAGCCCCTCTCTGATATCAGAGAAGATCCTGCTTCGGTTGCTCAAGTACCCAGATGTCATTCAGGAACTCAAGTTTGACGAGCACAACAAATACTACATCCGCCATTACCTGTACACCCGAAATAAGCCGGCCGATTACTTCACCCTCATCCTGCAGGTGAGCGGCCTGCTCCATGCCTGCCCTCCTGTGCCCACTCTGCCCTCTTCACCGGCTGAGATGGCTGGGGGACACAGGGCTTTCCTGCGTGTGGCCTGCCCCCGAGCCTCTGCTCCCCCTTCGCCCATCCTCTTCCTGAGAGGCCACCCCGGAGCCTCCAGGTCAGGGCCCCTGAGCTCGTCAGGGCTCTGGAACCGGCTCTTCCTCGCCCGCACTTCTCCCTCTTGCCTCGTCCTTTTTTCTCCCAGTTGAGCTTTCCTCCTCAGCCTGTTTGTCACCCTGACCCTGTGTTCTTCCAGGGGAAGGTGGAGGTGGAGGCCGGGAAGGAGAACATGAAGTTTGAGACAGGCGCCTTCTCCTACTACGGGACCATGGCCCTGTCGTCGCCCACCTCTGGTGAGTCACTAGGCTGCCTCCGTGCTGCCCTCCAGGGTACCTGGTTGGGGGGGGCGGGCCATGAGGGGTAAGGACGTGTCGGGGAGCCCCGGAAAGCTGACGGCATGTAGTTGTGATAGGAAGCAAGAAGTCCTGACAGGCTTCGGAGCAGAGAGGGTGTACGACAGCAGACTGGGCCAGCTGGGCAAGTAGCTGTAGCAGCGGGAAGGATGAGAGAAGGCAGGTGGACGGAGGCTACAGGGTCTTGCTCACGGAGACGGGGGCAGGGCAATTGAGGTAGGGAGTGAGGGCGTCCAGGGTGTCCACGGCCAGGAGTCAGGCCAAGGCCTGTTTACCAGGCAGGGTGCAGATGGGCTTGGCTTTTCAGGAGGCTTAGCCACTGCCTTTTGGTTAAGGGCTGGTTCTGATGGCAGAAAGGGACTTGGGGCAAAGAGCGGACTGGACACACCCTCTAAGAGAGGTTGTGGGAAGTCCAGGGAAGGACCACTCTGGTCACTGTGGTGCTTTCTGCTTCTCTAGTCCTAGGGGGCTCAGGCTCCCATTGCCAGGGGGCCTTGTGGCCGGAGTGGGCACCAGATCAGCTCCTTGCTGGTTACACGGCCCCTCTGAGCCTTGAGTGGGGCCCCGGGTTGCTGCAGGCTGGAAAGTGAAAGTCCACTCTGTGGCTGGAGGATGGGCCACACACTGAGGTGTGTGTGTGGCTCGTGGAGAGCCTCTGTGCCGTGCCTGTTGCTGTCCTTTGACAGAGAGGACCCTGTGTGCGGGAGGCCAGGGCACTCCTGTATACTGATATGGCTCAGCTTATCCACTGGCGTGACACAGCTCTGCTCCTCTCCCGGCATGAGCAGGCTTCAGGAAGGAAGCAGTGGGGAGACAAGGCTCCAGAGCTGGGTTGTGGCGCAGGGGGCCCCTGCTTGGATGCCTCCGACCTAGGGAGGACTTCTCGGCCCCTCCCAAGAGCACCTCCTGCCAGCCAGCCAGCCGGGGGAAATCTCGTCTAGGAGGGCACACGGTCATGGGACTTTCCTTCCAGGCACTTTTTCTCTGCAGCGATGCCTCAGAAGCTTGGGCCAGGGTCCTTGGCTCTATCCTTTGACCTGGAGGCGCTCAGGTCCCACTTGTAGTGGCCGAAGGGAGAGATGACTTCTGGGGGGGGGGGGGGGGACTGTGGCTTCACTGTGGGAGCCTCTGCCCCTCTTTGAGCAGGGCTCATTGGTCTGCCCCCTCCCCATCAGAGCCATGTCCCCCTTTCCATGGTGCCCCCTCTCTGCCCAAGGGAGACTGGCCCCCAGCAGGTCTGCTTCTCCATCCTGGTCCCGTGGCTCCGTGTTCTGCTGCCTCACCCTACCCATCGCTGACCTTTTCCTCTTTTGCTCCAGTGCCTTCAACCCAGGTCGGGTGTCCGCCTGGCAAGCGGAACTCCCTGCTCTCCTGGCTCTCAGGTAACACGGCATGGCTGGAGAAGTTTGCACTGCCACCTATCGCCTGAGCCCACATACCACAGCTCTGTTAACCTCACCCAGCAGCCACTGGAGCTCCCCACTCGCATCTAGGGCCATCCCACCTGCTCACACTTGTGGGCCAGCCTAATTTGCACCGGCTCTGCCTGGCCTCAGGCCCAGTTACTGGGTGGCTTTGCCCTGGTCCTGGAAGGGCTTCTCCAAAGGTCCTCAGTCCTTGAGAAGACACAGACACGCGTGCATATGCGCGCACGCACACCAACACACAGCTAGAGCGGGGAGGGAGGGTTGCTTCTGGCCAGGCCAAGTGAGCCCAGCAGTTCTGCACCCCCCTGATCAAGGCCACTCACAAACATCAGGATGCCTTGTCATCTCATCAGCTTTCTCTAAAAAACTTTCCTCCTTTCTTCACAGGCTTTGCTCTTCATTCTGTTGCTGCTGGTGTCTGCCCGCCAGGGGGAGGCAGCCGCCGGGCATCAGAAGTGCGGCCCCGGGCAGACGGCCCCGTGTGAACGCTGTCTCTGCACTTGGCTAGCTAAAATGCTTCCGGGAGCTGACTTCCTCTCAGTCTTTCGTTCCCTCTTGTGTAATGGGAACAATAGATGTGCCCACTTCTTAGAATTGTCAGGAGCAGTGAGAGACTGGGTATGAAATGTTCGGGTAGAGCTCAGTTTTTATTTGTTTTTTTCTCGATTACAACTAAACTGTGACATTCCAGTCAGAAAGTATTGAGGAAAAGGCCCAATGCCACATGCTGTTTCTGGCTTTTGATACGTCACTCTCCTGAGCCTTAGCCCAGGATTGCTGGCAACTGTGTTGGTTGACTCCGTTCACGGGACTCCTGTCCCACTTACATGGAGGCGGCAGGGGGTGGCAGAAGGTGCTGGTCTCCCCATCAGAATTCTGGCCTGGCCCTGAGTCCTGAGGAGGTTAAGTGCATTTATAAGTGCCTTTGAGCTCCAGTCTCGGTGTGTAACTTAAAGAAGCTCCTGGGGCCCCAACAGTCCTAAACACCTATCACCAGAGTCCATCATTTCCCATTTTATATTCGTACAGCTGGCTTTTTTTCTCCCTCTCCACTGTACCAAAGCACACTTTTCTCTTGATTCTCTTTAAAAAAAAAAAAAAAAAAAGGTAAAAAAGTGACTTAGAAGTCACTCGTCCCTTTCAAACAGCCAGCTTTTGGTTGTGATAGGAAGTGGGAAGCTGCTAATGGCCTTTGAGTAGGTGACGTCTGTCGACCATGTTGGTCTTCCTTGGCCAACACCTCAGCCCCCTTCTCTCTTCTGTGCTTGCTCTTGTTTCATACTGGCCAGGAGTTTATGCATCCATGGCTTGGATCCTGCTGTTTTTACCTAATACAGGAGCAGAGATGCTTTTCTATCAGCTTTCTTGTTTGAGCCACACAGTGTTCCTCCAAGCACACGTGCCTTCATTTGTTATCCCCCCTTATGGACAGTCATTGGGGTCTGTGTTGTAAATAACACCATGACGTAAACCTCTTTATGAAAAAACTTCCCCTGTGTTTAAGATTGTGTCCTTAGGATATCCTTTCAGAAATGGAATTACCAAGTCATTTTTTGCACATTTATTATTCTGTTTCATTTTTATTTTATTTTTTAAGGTTTAAATTAATTAATTATTTTTTTATTTTTTTGAGCGAGTGAGTGAGCACAGGGGAGGGGCAGAGGGAGAGGGTTGAGAGAGAATCTTGAGCAGGCTCCATATCCAGTATGGAGCCCGACACTGGGCTCCATCTCATGACCCTGAGATCATGATCTGAGCCGAAATCAAGAGTCAGATGCTTAAACCAACTGAGCCACCAGGGCACCCCGGATTTTATTTTTAAGTAATCTCCACACCCAGTGTGGGGCTCAGACTCACAACCTGGAGATCAAGAGTCACACGCTTCACAGCCTAAGCCAGCCAGGCTCCCCTCATTGTTCTGTTTCAATCATAAAAGCAGTATAGCTTATTTAGAAAATTGAGAAAAGGGAAAAAACAGTCTTAAGAAAATTAAGAAGTATTGGGGTACCTGGGTGGCAGAGTTGGTTAAGTGACCAACTCTTGGTTTCAGCTCAGGTCATGATCTCAGATCATGGGATCAAGGTCTGTGTTGGGCTCTGTGCTCAGCGTGAGTCTGCTTGAGATTCTCTCCCTCTGCCCCTCCTGCTAGCGCTGTCTCTCTCTCTCCATCTAAAATAAATAAATAAAACTTAAAAAAAAAAGAAAATTAAGAAGTATTAATTAATTAATTAAGTATTAATTAAGAAAAATTAAGATAATTTCATTATTCAGAAACAAAGGTTTCATATTTTGGTGTATTTCTTTTTAGGGCCTCTATTTTTAAAAGGCCATATCCCTAATTTGTGTTGTTTCTATATTCAATATCTGGAGTGTTAATAAGCATTAATTAAAAGCATTCCATCACCATCCAAATGATCAATGTGAAATATTAGGTAATAGCCATAGTATTTGTGTTTCTTTTCTAGAACTTAATCAGAGGTGTTACTTGAGTTAGGATAAGTGACACAAACACACACATACACACGATCCTCTTAATGATTGTACATTGCCCAATAACAGACTATCCAGACTGTATTTTCCTAGTTTTAGGAAGGAAACTCAAAGACAGGGTGTTACTTAGTTCAGTCTCAGTTAAAGCTGTATTGGTCACTCAGTCACCCAGATTCATTATGTTAGCTCTCTTCGAGCTGTTTGTTAAAATAGCTAACTTAGTAGTTAGTTAGTAACTTAGTGCTCAACTAAGTAAATAAGCTTAGTCCACTTCCTGTTTGCTTAAAAGAAGCCAGCATGCCTTCACAGTTAACTTCTTGTGTGTTTCATTGTTTTCTAAGTGTTCTCAAAAATAAGAGCTAATGATGCACAGTATGTGTACAGTTCCTTTCTGAAAATAAGGAGTCTGCTCCTTCCTCATTTGCGGTTGGGTCATCCCCTGTTCCTGACAAGGGGCTGCAGGAGGCCTTGTTGCCCCTGGGGGAGGAGGCACCTCCACCACCACCCCAGGCTTTGCCTCAGGGCAGGGGAGCTTGGACCAGGCTGGAGGAGACGGCCAGTGTGGGAGGCCTGAAGCTCTGGGAGCATGAGGCTCCTGGGGACAAGGCCCTGCTGCCCCTGTCCCCCTTGTCAGACTGACGGGGGTGGGGCCAGCAGACACACACGGGCAGGACTGTTCCGCATAGAATGGGTCTTGTGCAGAACACACTTTGACCTCTTGAGAGCAGGTTAAGATGTGAGTAGGGCATCCTGTTGAGCGGTCTGTGTGGATGCGTCGTGAGAGGGTACAAGTGTACGTTCTTCCTTTTAATATATTTGACACGTATGCAGCGTGTGTCCCTTGATAACAAGCTGCTGTGGAGACAGGGACAGTGCCTGGTCTCCCGTGGAGGGGTGATCACTGTGTTGCCCTTGACTGATGACTTGTTGGGGACATGAGGGCTTCTGCAGACATAAATTTTGTGGTTTTGGTTTTTGTTTTCTGCTTTGGTAGGCTTTTTAATACTTACTGCACAACACCTTAAACAAACTAACTCATTTGCTTTGATGAGGTCAGACCGTCTGCAGTTGGAGCTTGTTTGTCCTTAAGAACTGTTCCATTCCGGTGGGGGCCCCGCTCCCACGTGTCCACGGGACAGGTTAGACAAGAGGCTGTGAGGGGCACCGGGGGCTCCTGGCCTGACCGTGTGTCTCTTCCCACAGACCACTCCCCATCCCACCCCGCCACCCTCAGCCGCTCGGCCTCCCTTAGTTACCCGGACCGCACGGATCTCACGAGCACAGCCACCTTGGCAAGCAGCACCAACCAGTTTGGCAGCTCCATCCTGGGCCAGTACATCTCCGACTTCAGTGTCCGGGCGCTCATGGACCTCCAGTACATTAAGGTGGGTGCTTCCTGCGTCTCTCCCTCTGGCCAGCGCTGTCTTCCTCGTCCTGGGCATTTGGATCACTCTGCCTCAGGAATCAGCAGCTTCTTTCTTTTTCATCCACCACACACAGCACAGAGGGCCTGGACCCGAGACGTGTGTCCTCCTTATTCGTGCTCCTCACTCTCTCGAGCTGGTCACATCCTCTCTTCTGGACCCCCAGCCCCAACCCTGGCTAGCACTGTTTCCCTGGGTCTTGGAAGGTTGGCCTCTCAGTCCCGGCTCTCTGTGAACCTCATCCCTTCCTCCTGCAGATCACTCGGCAACAGTACCAGAATGGGCTGCTGGCCTCACGCATGGAGAACTGCCCTCAGTTTCCCCTGGATGGCTGTACCATCTGCACAGAGAACTTAGCCGGGAAGTCCGAGTTGCCCGTGGTAGATGAGACCACAACTCTTCTCAATGAGCGTAACTCTTTGCTGCACAAAGCTTCCCATGAGAGCGCCATCTGACAGCAGGGCCCGGGGTCCCCCGCCAGCTCCGCGGGGGTCTCCCCAGTGGGCCCACATGAAGATAGGGAGGCTTTCAGGCCAGAAGAGGGACAGATAGCCTGTCTAACTGAGCAGCCAGATGGCCCCCAGAGTGTGGGGAGTTTTGGCCTCTGACAGGGACCTCTGAATAGCTCCAAATTAGCGGCTGCCCAGCCCTGGACTGGCAGGGCAGTGGGCCAGCTACCATGAGCAAGGCTGTTTTTTACTGAGAGAATTTCTGAACTAGGCTCACTGCTCCTCTTTTTAAATATTGTTTGGGGAAAGGAATGGGGAAGGGAAGACAGGGTTAAGGAACTTTATTTAAAACAAAAAAAAATGTTTTTTCCACAAAAACTTCAATGAAAAAGGGTAGGGTTTCTCACCCCGGGAAGCAATAGCCATAATCTGCTCCCGGCCATGACCTTCTGGCTTATGTCCCTGATTCAGGGAGCCCACTCCTCCTCTTCCTCCTCCTCCCCTTCGTCCTCCTCCAGAGATGCTATCCCAGAGGCCCGCTGGAGGAAGGTTTTCTCTTGGGAGGAAGACAGTTCCTTCCAGGAAGCAAAGAACCAAATAGCGTTGAGAACAACTGCCTGGACACATGCACTGAGGCTTGTCTGACGTCGCTGAGGCCTAGGGATTCTGGGCAACTGTGATGAGGGACATGGTACTCCCAGCTACAGAGAGGAGCCCGCCCACTCCTGTCAACCGCTGGATCCTGGAATTTCCTAGGACTCTGCTGATGGGCTCTCCTGGTGAGTTGGGCCAGGCTGAGGACTCTCACCCTTGTCTCTACTCGTTTGACTCAGAGTGTTTAGCAGGGTCTGACACTTTTAAGATTGCTTACCCCTGCTTCCCAGGCCCTGCCCTTACTTTTACCAAAGGTTTCCCCCTCGGTGGGAGAACATCTACATTACGGGTGACTTGTCTGAGATACTCCTTTCAGTTCCAGGAGGGAATCTCGTCACGGGCATCTGTGTTGGTAGCAATTAAGACCATCCCCTTTCCCACCCTGCAGTGAAAGTCAAGTGTCAGTCACTGACCTATGAAGCCCCTCTTTTCAGACTCCCTACTTCTCATCCCAAAGCCCATTGCTTCTTGGGGATTGAGGACAGCAGGACACATAGGAAGCCAACCTAAGCAGGTTCTTCATGCCCTCCTTTCCTCTGTGGCTGAGGTTTACCCAACCTTGTTCACACACTTAAAAAACCCAGGAAAGGATGTTTCCACCTAAAAGACACACAACTGGCAGCCCTGTTGCCCCCGTCTTTATAATCCTAGCCTGAGTTGTCATCCTGGCCCTTGCTGAAGCTAGTGGTACTGGATCCTGAGAGCTCCCCCCCTACCCACATGAAATTCTGCCCCAGTGCCTTTTCCCTGGGGCTGAATGAGGCCCTGCTGCAGAGCTCCAGGCTTGCCACTGTTGGGGAGGCTGTGGGACTAAGGTCCATGTTGGCCCTTTTGTCGGGTGGAAAGGTTGCTGGGGGCCCAAGATCAGGCGGGGGAGACTCTGCACACCTTCCACCTAAGTGGTAGTTATTGACCCTTTCCTCAGCCCGTGACTCCTGTCACCCCAAGTGCTCTGTTCTTCAGGCACCTGGAGAATCCTAGCTTTTGGGACCAGGAAGTGTCTGCACCAAGTATACTTGCCCCTGGCTGGTTCTGAAGTCTCCCCTAGTCACAGAATTTATTCCTCGAAGTCTGGAGAAAAGGTGGTGACACCCATGGGTTCTCAGTCATGAGGAAAAAAACCCACCGGACCTTTATTCCCTGTGGGGGGAAACCCCTCAGTTTTCTACAGGAGCAGCTTGCTTTCCGAGTCCACATGGGAGCTTGCAAAGCTGTGTTCCTGAGAGACCTGAGTGCCAGGTGGGGCAAACCACATTGGCCTGAACCAAGTGAGTGTGTGAAGTAAAAGGAGCAGGTGCACACACTTCCACAGCTACCTCTTTGCACACACGGTTACCACCAACAGATGGTCCTCCCTTTCCCCACTTATAATCATTTCTTGCAGAGGGTCATAATTATCTCCAAATATTACTGGTCCGATGACTTCCTCCTCCCAGTGCAATTTTTTACTTCCTATTCCAACCTCTGGTTCCTGGGCCGAGCCGTACCCTGGAACTGGCCCACCCCTGCGTGTCTTCTCATGTAAGGGAGACTGTCGCAAATGGCCTCCAAATGGGTAGGCAAGTCACAGCCACCGTAGCGAATAACTCATATTTATTTTGCATAAGATTTTAATTTGTATATTTTTGTGATTTATTTTGGCATTGTTATGAGTTTGACTCTCGGGGAGTTTTGTTGTTATGACTCTTGTGTCTTTTGTCACAAGACAATGATAATATTTGCTAAACAATATATGGAATTTATTTTTGATTGGTAATAAAAAATGAAATAGGAAGTCTTGGTGAGTGTACAATTTGCCTGTTTGAGTTCAGTCAGTATTCAGCACCTGTCGTAGAGATGGTGGCTGTGGTTGGCTGTCACCTATGACAGGGCAAGGGGCAAGTATTCTGGAACTGTTTTAACAGAAATTTACAAAATATATATTATCAAGGCTGTTGTCCCAGGAGCTAGAGAGTAGCAGCTGCTGTGAGATGGGGATGGGGCAAGTGTGCTCAACTGCCACAGTTAGGAATTTGTAAAAATGGACACCACAGTCTTCTGCCTGCAGGTACCAGACAGGGCGGTTAGAGGGGACTGATAGCCCCTCCTCTCCCCCCCTGGGGGCTGAAGGAGAAAGGAGCCTGATCCAACAGTATGATCGCCGTGCTTCATAACATGCAGCTGCTTCTTTGTCCTTGCTCATGAGCTGGTACTCGTGCAGTGCCCATAGGTACTGTGGCTACGGTGTGTAATAGAGTGTGCTGGGACCAGGGCCCAAGCAAGCCAGGCTTACCAAAGCAGACAAATTGGGGCTAATGTTTAAAAAAAGGGATGCACTTAGGGAGAAAAAGGACATTGTAGATAAAATAACAGATGCAAAAAGCAGGTGGACACGAGAATAAATTTCATCTGACCATATGTTCCACACATGAGTAAGCCCCTGCTACATGCCAGGTGCCATCAACCCCTCAGTGAGTGTAGTGAGGAAGAGTCTCTGAGGGAGACAGTCACACCACGACCTTTTGATTTCCTTTCTCTTCCACATGGAACACTTCTCCCAAGTCTTTGTGAGGCTCACCCCCTGACTTCATCTAAGCTTCCGTTCAAATGTCACCTCCTTGGAGAAGACTTCCCTGGTCAGCGCATCTAAAACAGCATGGCCCCAATCCCTCTGTCCATTTCCTTATCTTGCTTTGTTTTTCTCCACAGCACTTATTGCCAGATATAAAATGAGGATTTGTATATTGTGTGTTGTTCCCACACTAGAACCTAAGCTCTGGCAGGGCAGGGCCTTTCTCATTCCCACATAGTCCCAGCACCAGAATGGTACCTGGTACATTGCAGGAAATACTTGTTGAATGAATGAATGAATGAATGGGTCTTACAAAAAGGTGAATACTGGATTGCTATTCAGTGCTATTAGGGAAGAGCACATAGCTCCCATAACCTTGACCCAACCTAGTCAAGATGGTCAAGGAAGACCAGCTGGAGTAAGTGATACTTGCAGACTTGAGAAATAAGCAGGAATTAGCCAGTGAAGTCACAATAGTTATGAGTTTAAAACTCAAGAATAAGTATTTAGGTGAAACATGGAAATGTCTTGAACCAAATGAGCGGTAAGGAAAATCGCCCAGGGAGGGTCAATGAGGGACCTGAAGGTCAAGTGGCACGTGTCTCCATTGATGCAATGACTACCCAGGGGATGGGGGTAAAGAATGGTGCAGAGCCAGTGAAGAAAGAAGCTGGAGAAGTACTGTTGAGGCCTCTCTTGTTAACAGAAAATCGCTCCTTGAGCAGCTTTGCCCTACTGGATTCTTTCTGTCTTTGGGTATCCACAGTTTAAATGACCATTTGTGTTTCCAAGTGCGATCCAGTTGTCCTACCCAAAGATTTTCTCCAAAAAATGAATTACTGGTTGTTTTCCAAGGGCACCTGAGACCAGATACATACGGAGTTTTTCTTGTCTTTGCTCTGGAACTGTTCTTTGCTAATTAGTAACTTTTCCGGGTATATAACTTTCAAGGATGTCATCCATTCTATTTTAATGTCAGCATTTTATCTGGACTTGGAGACGGAAGTGTGAACTAAAGGGGCTGAATCCATAGTTTTTTTTCTTCAAAGGAGGCATGCTGATCCAGTGCAAAGGCTCAGTAGTAGAGTCATTATTGCTTCTGCTGGTGGCTTATTCTGTAATCCGCAAGTGAGGCGTAGCATCCTCTAGATAATAAAAACTGAAAACGTGGGAGACATGGTTGGCCTAGTCACAGCGCCGAATTTATAATGTTGAAGAGACATTCTTAGCATCCTTTGAAGAGTTTTTCCACAAAGTATTTTTTCTTTTGGTCATTTGCCATGGATTTGCTCATTTTTGCACATTGCATTCCACACATTTTACTTAACTGTGGCCACAGTGCCTATACTTTTTCTTATTATTTTCATGACCTAGCAAATGTATTTCCGTAGACTCTTTATGAAGATTTTAAATGACATGAATATGAGCACCCTTATCAAAAGTCTACTTTGTTAGGAAGTTTGAAAATACATAAAAACGTAAAGAAAATACAAAAACAATCTGGATCCCTGTAGAAAAAAGCCTTGTTCAGTTTGTCTATTTCCTTCCAATCATATAGAGATCATACACAATGGGTGAAAAACATTCCATCCTGTCAAGACCGCCTCCCGGGCCGGTCTTGTCTTCTAAATTACTCTCTAGTAAGGATCCTCTTGAATAGTTCGTGTTGTTCCTGAGGAAGTATTTTTCCAAGGATTATCTGCTAGAAGTGGAGTGACCAGGTAACAGTAATTTCTGACAGAGCTGCCCTCTGCTAACGTGGCTGGGATGATGACCAGGCAGGTCGTGTTGGAATCCTGCATCCATGCTAAGTCATGCTTCACTTTTTTCCTGTAGAAGTAGCTCCGAGGGTCCAATGAGGTAGTGATTTCCTGTGTTTACATAATTACCATCGTTCTCCCTGGCAGGAATGCAAGTTCCTTGAAGGCAAAGGGCTGTGTCTCACGTCCCCAGACCTATAGCACAGTCGGGCACAATCTTCAAGAAACTTGAGCTTCCCAACGTCCGGTCACCGGTTCTTTCAGCTCTCCTTGCCGCTAGGCCAGTGGTTCACGGGGCCCTTTCCTAAGAAACGGTACATCTGCCACACACTTGAAATCTCTGCCTGCAAGCCGCTCCGCTCCGCGCCCCGAGTCAGGGACTTCCCAGAGCACAAGCGCGGCATCCGGGTGCGCCGGCACGGCCTGTGGGAACTGGACGCCCCGCTCGCCGCTCCGCGCGTCCGGGCGCTGACCACCTCTCGCCCTGGGAGTCACGGCCGAGCCCGCGGGGCCGAGAGCCCCACGCCCCCGGCCCGCCCCGGGATCGCGCCGCCGCTTGTTTACTCCCCGGCGCAGCCTAGTCCGACCCTGGGGCCCGCCCTCGTCCGCCGCCTATTGGCGGAGGAGGCGCCAACGCTAGCGACGATTGGTCCAGGGAAGGCGGAGGGGTAGGCTGCGCGGGAGGCCGAGAGGGGGCAGCAGGCGATGGCGGCGGCAGCGGCGGCGGCGGGTCGTCTAGGCTGGTTGCTCGCCGCGCTGTGCCTGGGCAACGCCGCCGGGGAGGCGGCGTCGGGCCCGCGAGTGTTGGGCGTCTGTCTGGAGGAGGACGGAGCCGCGGACGCGGGGTGGGAGCGCGGAGGAGAGGTGCGGGCCGCACCGGAGGCCACCTTCCGCCTACGCCTCTTCGGCTCCGGCTTGGCCAACAGCTCCTGGTCCTGGGTGGCCCCCGAGGGGGCGGGCTGCCCCGAGGGCGGGCCGGCCGCGGCGCCCGAGGAGGCGGCGGCCCCCACGGGCGAGTGGCGCGCACTGCTGCGCCTGCGCGCCGAGGCTGCGCGCCCGCACTCGGCGCTGCTGGCCGTGAGCGGGGAGCCGGGCAGCTCGGCGGCCCGGGAGGCGGCGGCCCCAGCGGGCGAGTGGAGCGCGCTGCTGCGCCTGCGCGCCGAGGCCGTGCGCCCGCATTCGGCGCTACTCGCCTTGCGCGTGGAGCCAGGCGGCTCGGCCGCCGAGGAGGCGGCGCCGCCCTGGGCGCTGGGCCTGGGGGCGGCGGGGCTGCTGGCGCTGGCGGCGCTGGCGCGCGGCCTTCAGCTAACCGCACTGGCGCTGGCGCCCGCCGAGGTGCAGGTGCTGCGCGAGAGCGGCTCGGAGGCCGAGCGCGCGGCGGCGCGGCGCCTAGAGCCCGCGCGGCGCTGGGCCGGCTGCGCCCTGGGCGCGCTGTTGCTACTGGCCAGCCTGGCGCAGGCGGCGCTGGCGGTGCTGCTGTACCGCGCGGCCGGCCAGCGCGCCGTGCCCGCCGTGCTGGGCAGCGCGGGGCTCGTGTTCCTGGTGGGCGAGGTGGTACCGGCTGCCGTGAGCGGGCGCTGGGCGTTGGCGCTGGCGCCGCGCGCGCTGCTCCTCAGCCGCCTGGCCGTGCTGCTGACCCTGCCGGTGGCGCTGCCCGTGGGCCAGTTGCTGGAGCTGGCGGCGCGGCCCGGGCGGCTGCGCGAGCGCGTGCTGGAGCTGGCCCGCGGCGGCGGCGACCCCTACAGCGATCTCAGCAAGGGCGTGCTGCGCTGCCGGACCGTGGAGGACGTGCTCACGCCGCTCGAGGACTGCTTCATGCTGGACGCCAGCGCCGTGCTGGACTTCGGCGTCCTGGCCAGCATCATGCAGAGCGGCCACACGCGCATCCCAGTGTACGAGGAGGAGCGCTCCAACATCGTGGACATGCTCTACCTCAAGGACTTGGCCTTCGTGGATCCCGAAGACTGCACGCCGCTCAGCACCATCACCCGCTTCTACAACCATCCGCTCCACTTTGTCTTCAACGACACCAAACTGGACGCTGTCCTGGAGGAGTTCAAACGAGGTAACGGGACATCGGGGAGGGGACACGAATGCTCCAGCGCTCTCCGCTGGAAAAAGGGTGGGTGTTTATGGAAGCCTTGAGGAAAGGGTCCCATCCTTACGGAGGTCTCTCCGAGTACCCTTTTAGATGTTGGCCTCACAGCCCTCAGTGACCTTTTGAAATACTCAAAGGCTGTCGTTCAGAGCGCTGTGGAAAGCAAAATCCCCCTTTTCCTGGTAGGCCTAATTTGGGGAGCTGTGTCCACTTGACTCTAACCCACCAGCTTTTTCCTTCATTTTTGTGGGCTTTGGCTTTGTAAATGGTCTAAATTCTTAAATAGAACTAGAACAGAGAAGAGGATAGTCTTCAGACATCTGGTCGCTTTCACCTGCACACATGGTCAAATTAGCAGGGCCTGTGTCGTTTTAAGGGATCATTGTTAAGGTCTTTCATGCCTTGCTGTTAACAGAAGGAATGATACCTGATTTTCTGCAGATGTGGGAGACACTTTGATTTCATTGGAAGCAACTTTACGGATACTGATTTAGTCTTCCTTTTGTCTTGTCTTTTTTAACTTCTCCTTTTCTGATAATGAGTAAGGTCTGTCAGGGTCTCCCTTAACTCCACAGTTCACCCTCTTCTTTCACCTTGGTTTATCTGAGCAACTCCAAGGTTGCAGGTAAAAATGGAGACCCAGCCTCCAAGTGTGAAGGTGTGGATTCCTCTGCAGTCCTCTCATTGTCAGGCTTGGGTGTGCTCCCCAGAACTTGGCTGCTCCTTGTCCGCCAGCGATGCTTCTCACCCCTGAATTCCTGCAGGATGATCATGGGGGACACCCCAGGACTCTGGATAGGCTTGACCCGAAAGGCTGCATAATGTGAGGCGGGGAAGAGAGTGGAGCCCCTGATCTTCCTGGCGGCTGTGAAGTCTCCGGGCCCCAGGCCGCATGGATGTTGAGTAATTAGTCGTGGCTTGGGTGTTGAATAGTTAGGCAGTTAACTGTCCTTACTGTACCTGAGGATTGGGTGGGAGACTTTGCTGTGCAGCTTTGACTGCTCTGCTAGAGCATCTCTTGGGTGCTCTTGGCTGTTTCCCCCCAGAAAGTGCCCTTGGCTGTTTCCCCCAGAAAGTGGCCATGCAAACCCTCTCAGGGAAGGGGAGCCCGAGGTGGGGGCCAGACCTCTGCTGGTGAGTACTCCATCTGGGCTCCTGTAGTTTTCCAGGCAGTGGAGGTTCTGGTGGCCTGGAGTGCACTAAGGAGTGTTCCATCCTGCCCCTGCCACCTCCCAGCTTGAGACCCTGGGAAGGCTGGACTTGATCTCCAGGGCGTTGACTTTGAGCCCCGACTGGTACGGAGACCGGTGTGTAGGGGGCCCAGCTAAGAAATGGTGGTAGCTGAATAAAGGTGGGCAGCGAGCCTGGAGAGGAGATCCAGAAGGGCATTGGGAGGTGGAATTGAGGGGCTTTGTGGTTAGCTGAGGAGCCAAGGGTGAGGCCTGGGTTTCTGGCTTCGGGATGCTCTTGCCCTTCCCTGAGGCAGAGCACTTACAGAGAAGGGAGGTCATTATGGTGGTGGGGGGGGGCGTGGCACAGGTGAGTTTGTTCTGGACACTGGAATGTGTCTATGCAGTGGCCCAAGAGGCCGACTCAACCAGTTGACGAGAAATACGAGTTAAAGAGCCAAGCAGGAGATAAAGATTTGTTTGTTGGTAAAGGAGAGGTCGCTCAAGCCATAGGTGTGGCACAGAAAGCCTAAAGCGTATGAGGGGTGGAGGGTAGCAGAGGAGAGCTGCTGAGGAAACCCAGTTCAGAATGCCCTAGAAGAGACCAATTACCGAGGGACGGCGAATGATCAGGAGAGGCCAGCATCATGTCATTTGGACCCAACAACCAGGATACTGTTGACCCCTGCAAGAGCAGATTTGGTACTCCAGCGTGGGCGATGGGGAGTGAGTGGGACGTGTCAGCTGAGGTAGACGGGCCTGCCCTGAGGTATGGCTGCAGAGCAGCAGCCAGAGAGCGGTGGCTGGGAGACGGCTGGTAGGGGCGGGGGCCCTCTGCTCTTCAGTTGAAGATGGGCAAGTTGAGGGGCTTTGGGTTGCAATGTTGGCAGAAAGGAGCCAGTCGGGAGAGAAGGCGCGCAGTCTAGGCTGCTCCTGTTCTGGGGTGGTGGGTGGCCTTGGAGCAGCTCTGGGGAACGTGGAGGCTGGACGGGGAGCTCCTCAGTCGTCCTCGCCTTCCTCCTCCCCTGACAAGTGAGGGCCGTTCTCAGGGGCAAATTGGCTTCGTCTTCCTCTGACGTCCTGGAGCCTTTCTCTGCTTCTCTTTGCAGTGCACTCCTATGGCAGATATCTTTTTCCTCATTAAGATCCTTTTTAGCCTAACCCCTTTTCTTCATTTTGCTTATGAACAAAGGGCATATTGCAGCCCTTACGGCGCCTGAGGTTTTAGAAATCAGTTCCCTTCCTGTCTCTTTGCCAAGTGTATGAGGTGGTGGTGCCCTCTGAATTTCCCGAAGCCGGAGTCCTTGACATCTTGGCAGCTACCATTCCAGGCCCAGTCCCTTTCATCCCTTCAGGGCACTGTCTGTTTTGGAACTTCATAGTCTGGGAGAGGCACCTTTTCTGGTGAGGTGCTCCTTAGTTAGTGTGCAGACTTAAGATGATACCGAATATTTGGGGCAAACATTACCAGGAAGAGAGTGTACTCTGGAGCTGCAGTAAAGTGTATTTTCTTTAAAGCTATTAATCCCACCATCTTTGTCAACCTCCCAGTGAGAATAGTCAAGGACAGTCAACCAAAGGAGGAATTAGGATGCATGCTTTTCAGAATCTCTGCTTTAAACCAACCAAGTTCTGGTTCATTGTCAGAAGCCAAAGGATCCCCAGGATTCTGAAAAGAGTCAGACCTGCTGTGAGGAATGTTAGCCTAGCACTTTTCTCCTAGGACATGTTCTGACAGTTGCTTTAAAAAATAAAGGAAGGGGGGGGCGCCTGGGTGGCTCAGTCAGTGAACATCTGCCTTCTGCTTAGGTCAGGATCTTGGGGTCCTGGGATCGAGCCCTGCGTCAGTCTCCCTGCTCAGTGGGGAGTCCGCTTCTCCCTCTCCCCCTCCCTCTGCCCCTTCCCCTGCTTGTGCTCTCTCTCTCTCTCTCTCTCTCACTTTTTCTAATAAATAAATAAATCTAAAAAAAAAACGAAGATAGAGGAATTTAAACTACCTCTGCATTTTTACAAATATCCTAGAAATTAGGCATTATGGAAGAGTTTTCTAGCATCCATATAATTTATGAGTACATTCGAGCTTGCTAACTAAAATGAAAACTCTGTAGAGCTTTTTCAGGGCTTTCTGGTTGATTCAGGTAAGACGCGTCATCTGCCCCTTACCTTACCTGAGGCTCTTTGCTCAGGGAGAACCTGTAGGCAGTTGTCCCGGGGCCTGTTAGTGTTTCTAGTCAGCCAGCCAGGGGCCTGTGTATTTTCAGAGCATTTTGTCCTATCAGATGAGAAATAAACTTTAATCCCTCCAGCTGCCTGTTCTCTGAGTATCCCTCTTGCTTTTTCGTGGTTGCCATCTGGACCCCTCAGACATTCTGTGTTGAGATGAAATCCCGTGGCCCACTGTGTCAGAGGATCTTTCAGGGGCTCTGCTTTCGTCTGTTATCCAGTCATACCGTGTGGCAGGTCACTGAGAAACTGTGCCTGTTTTACAAAAGTTTGAAAGCAAGGGAGAGGTTAGTCCATTCTGAGGGTAACCTACATAAGGGGCTGGCATTCTGGAAGAATGCAGCTGAAATGGGTTCTCTCTGCTCTTACATGGTCATGTAGAACCTGGGCTTTGGTTCCTAGAATCTGACCAGAATTGTATGTCAAGCTTCAGCCTTCCTCATGTGGTCTGACAGATTAGTATCATGTGGCGGGGTCAGCGTGGCCCTCGTGGAAATGATGCCCGTCTGTTGGCGTGAGCCATTCCCAGCACAGATACCCAGGGGTGGGCAGCATCTGGAAATGCTGCTATTCCTCATTCAGTACTTCTGTCTCAGCAGGAATGAGCAGATAGTTCTCGGGGACTCCTGGCCTTTTTCTCCTGGAAAGGGGGAAGACAGTGTAGTCATTCCTGCCTGTAATTTTTGTCGAAGATGTTAGAGCATCCTGAAGAACAATACTTTGTTTTCTTTAGAAGGACCCCTGTGCTGGAGACAGTACCTTGGCCCAGTGTAATTCACCTAGAGGGGAGGGTCCCCTAAGATTTGGTCTCTTGTTCTCCAGTGAAAACGAGATGAGTATGGTGGTTAAGAGAATGGATTCAGGGGTGCCTGCATGGCTCAGTCGGTTAACATCTGCCTTCGGCTCAGGTCATGATCCCGGGGTCCTGGGATTGAGTCCTGCATCGGGCTCCCTGCTCCACGGGGAGTCTGCTTCTCCCTCTCTGCTTGCACCCCCTGCTCATGGTCTCTCTCTCTCTCTCTCTGTCAAATAAATAAAATCTTTAAAAAAAAGGAAAGGAAAAAACAGATTCAGGAGCCAGCTGCCTGGGTTCACATCTCGGTTTTGCACTTGGGTGAGTCACTGAAGCTCTCTGAGCCTGTTTTCTCTGCAGACTGTAAATGGGAATAATCCTCTGTTCCCAGTAACTTAATAAATGAATACAGCACTTAGCTGCCAGCACACAGTAAGCACTACATGCCGCATTCCTTCAGTTCACAGGTGCGTTGTTTTTTGTATTTCAACATCTCTACGATCAGGATGTGTCTCACAATCGATGGCATCTTCAATTTGATGAAATACAGTAAATGTTTTCTTTTTCTTTTCTACAGCCTCATTCCCTTTTTTTGTTTAAAGATTTTATTTTTAAGTCATCTCTACACCCAACATGGGGCTTGAACTCACAACCCTGAGATGAAGAGTTGCACGCTCCCCCGACTGAGCCAGCCAGGCGCCCCTGCCTCATTCCTTTCTTGATCATTTGGCCAGTGGTCTATTAATAATAACAGCTTTTGGTTGACTGGACATTTTCTTTTTATCTAAATTTGGAGCAGGGGCGCCTGGGTGGCTCAGTCGATTAAGCGTCTGCCTTCGGCTCAGGTCATGATCCCAGGGTCCTGGGATCGAGCCCCACATTGGGCTCCCTGCTCAGAAGGGAGCCTGCTTCTCCCTCTCCCTCTGCCTCTCCCCCTGCTCATACTCTCCCTCTCTCTTTCTCAAATGAATAAATAAAATCTTTAAAAAAATAAATTTGGATCAGAGGTCTTCCTGCACCCCCCGGGTGCTCCTGTTTTAATTTTAATTTAATTTAATTTTATTTATTTGGGAGAGTGAGTGCTGGAGGGGGAGGGGTAGAGGGAGAGAGAATCTCAAGCAGACTCCACACGGAGTGTGGAGCCTGATGTGGGGCTCGATCTTGCGACCCTGAGATCATAACCTGAGCCGAAATCAAGAGTTGGATGCTTAACAACTAAGCCACCCAGGTGCCCCTGTTTTAATATTTTTATGTTGATTGCATGTTAAAGTGATACTGAGAGTTTGTGTTGTGTTAATTACAATATGTTATCACTCAATTTTACCTGTGTTTTTTTCTTAATGTGGCTACTCAAATTTAAAATTACATATATGGTTTGCGTTCAGTTTCTTTTGGACAGGTTTCATAAAGTTTCATAGATGAAAAGCAGAGTCAGTTCTTGAAGCACTCTGAGGCTCGGGCTTTGTTCAAGCTTCCATTTCTTTATCAGACAAAGAAACAAACCAATAGGAAGCTCAGCTGAAGAAGGGGAAGGTAAACAGTTCCAGGCTGCTGCCCTTCCTCCCGCACAGTCTGGGCTCTGACTGGCCCCTCACCATTTATCATCTTCCCCCTGGATGACTTGCATAGACCTTGGCTTCTGGAAATAAAGGACAGCTTTCAGAATGGGGATGCTTCCCCAGGAGAGTCACTGGGTGGCCCTTCTGCACTCCCCCATGTAGACTGTCCCCAGGGGAGCCCGTGCTTCTGGAGTTGGTGCCCTTGTGTGTGCAGCCCTAGCGTCTGTCCCGGTCTGACGCAGCCTTATCTAAACCACGTTCCTGTAGACCCGAGGCTGACTCTGCTCTGCCTCTGCCTGGGTGGCCTTGTGCGGCTGAGCACAGTGCCGAGATTTAGGGTCCTCGTGTGTAAAGGGAGGCTCATCCTCACGAGCATGTTGAGAGCCTTAAGTAAGAACTTAGGAATGAGTCTCACTGGTGCCTGGTATCTTGTGGGAACACAGACATCACCTCCTGTCACTCTGGTGAGCTTGTACCAGGCAGGACTAAGCAAAATGGGAGGCCCCCGGCCAGCTGTAATCTGAGCGTCCCTTCCCCCAGGGAAGTCCCACCTGGCCATCGTGCAGAAGGTGAACAACGAGGGTGAAGGTGACCCCTTCTACGAGGTACTGGGCCTGGTCACCCTGGAGGACGTCATTGAGGAGATCATCAAGTCTGAGATCCTGGACGAGTCTGAGGACTACCGTGAGTCTTAACTCCTGGCAGCATTCCATCTCAGCTGGTCTTTCAGGCCTACTGAGATGTGTGGTGTGTCTCAGAGGACAGCGGGTCTCCGTGTTGCTAAAACGAGGCTGGATCTCCAGTCAGAGCTGTTGGCTAGCTGGGGCCGCGGGGGAGTGGGCCAGCATGGCCCCCTTGCAGGAGGGCCCGCAGCTGTGCCTGGATGCAACGCTGCGGTGGCCCGGCAGGGCCTTTGCAGCCCCACTGCCTGCCTGGGGCTCTGGCTGCAGCAGCAGTTTGGTTTCTCTGGCACAGATGGGAGCCCTGCCCTTCATGGGCCTTTCCCAGACTCCCATGGCCCTTTGGCTTTCTCGGGTTCCTTTTCTACAGAAGTTAGAGAAGCTTCTCCTCAGAGAACCCCATTCTTTACTGCTGAGAGAGTCTTTCCGAAACCGAAGATCCTGGGGCCTGTGATTATGTCTTAGGGGTGTCTGGCTCTTAGGAAGATGGCTGAGGTCTGCAGGGCAGACACAGAACCTGGACCTGATGGCCCGGGGCCTCACGTGCACGCTTGGGACACTGAGCCCCCCCCCCCCCAGCTCCATCTGCTGTCAAGTGAATCGCTTTGCCCCCGCGTCTGTCCCCAAAATGCAGCCTCTTTAGTTTGGTTCCTCAGACCACCATAGGCATGGGGACATCAGGTTAGCTGCTGCCATGTCACACCCGTAATCTGCAAAGACGTGCTTTCTGGTGAGGGGTGTCTGACCGTCCTGTCAGTATTCTGCGTTCCCAGCTCCGAGGACAGGAGCAGGCCCTGTCCGTACTTCCTCAGGACATGGCTGGAGTACGGGCCTGCCCCCTCTGCCCCGAGTACCAGGTTTGTTGTGTGTGGAGAGTGGCCGCCAGGCCCCAGCAGGGTTGTGTCCCCGGGTTCTGATGCTGCCTCCCCCCTCCGAGAGCCCCCAGGCTGTGGTAGCGGGCCTCGATTTGCTCGTACTGATTGGAGGGCTACTGTTGCCTCAGTGGGCCTTCTCGCCATCCTAGGAGATGCCGCCGTGCGGAAGAAGGCTGCTCCTCTGAGTGCCCCTCTCAGGCCGAAAGAGGAATTCTCCCTGTTCAAGGTGTCTGATGATGAACATAAAGTGAAAATCTCGCCTCAGCTGCTCTTGGCCACCCAGCGCTTCCTGTCCCGAGGTGAGGGTGAAGGGTGGGCCTTTGCTCTCGTGCCCACCGTCCGGTGGGTCAGGAGGCCCCCAGGGCAGACACCGAGTGCCCTCAGTCCTGGGAAGGAGGAGCGTACCCAGGAGCATTTCGGTGCTTCTCTCCAGCCCTGTCAGCACTTCAGGGCCCCTGAGGGATGGCTCCTGTCTGCCGATGGCTGAGAGCTGCGGCCAGGCAGGCGCCACCTCTGGCCAGCCATGGCGGGGAGCCTCAGCGGGGTGGGTGTGCGGCCTGCCCAGTTCCCTCGTGTTGGTGAGGTGACCTGGCTCAGGGGGCAGCAGGAGTCGGGTGTGGTCGTTCAGGCCACTCTGGGCCTGGTGGACACTGTCCCTTTTTCCCACCATGGGGCAGAGGTGGATGTATTCAGCCCCCTGCGAATCTCCGAGAAGGTCCTGCTGCACCTGCTGAAGCATCCCAGCGTCAACCAGGAAGTGAGGTTTGACGAGAGCAACCGTCTGGCTGCACACCATTACCTGTACCAGCGCAGCCAGCCGGTGGACTATTTCATTCTCATCCTGCAGGTAACTGGGAGCCCAGACTGGAGCCTCCCACTTGCTCAGAAAGTAGGGAAGGGTTTGAGAGAGGGAGGATCATGCACATCCACACCCCCTGAATAATTGGGGTTGGTGCTTTCTCCTTGTGCTCTCGTCTGGCGGGAAGGGTAATCTGTCCACATCTCTTTCTCTCCCTGCCCCTCCTCCCTCCCTCTCCCTCTACCTCCCAGGGCAGGGTTGAGGTGGAGATCGGGAAAGAGGGCCTGAAGTTCGAGAATGGGGCCTTCACCTACTATGGAGTGTCTGCCCTGACAGCACCATCCTCAGGTAAGTGGCAGCCCCTCTTGGAGTGGAAGGCTGGGCTCGGCTGCTGGGCTGCAGCTCTCTGGGGCCCAGGATCTGGCCTCCCCTTCCTCCAGAGCCCACGCGTCCTGTTGGGTGCTCCACTCGAGGATGGGCTGGCTTTTTTCCTCTCTGGGCTGTGTCAAGGGAAGGGGCAGCGTTTCTCTGGGGCTCGTCGCTGTTGCTTGCTCCTGCCCCTGCTAAGCCTTTCCCGCGAGGAAGTGTGCTTGCTGTGCTTCTCTGTGTTCGTAGCCATGATCACATCATAGAGTGATCTGTGGGGTGGATCTCCGAGGCGGTGCAGTTGTCCCCACCAGAGACGTCACTGATTGTTCCTTCTGATAGTTCACCAGTCCCCGGTGTCCTCGCTCCAGTCCATCCGCCACGACCTGCAGCCCGAGCCAGCCGATGGTGCCCGCTTGTGTGCGTACTGTCCTGACTACACCGTGAGGGCCCTCTCCGACCTGCAGCTCATTAAGGTGACTGTCTGGGCTGCTCATTGGTGCTGGCTGTTAGGCAGCTTTGTGTCCCCCAGGGGCTAAACCAGGTGGCCGCAAGTTTGTATGGATTAAGAGTAAATTCTTCTTGAGTCTCTCTGAGACTTGCTGGAACAGGACCGTGTTACTTGCTTGGAAGGACAGATGGCCTTGGCTCCTGGAGGTCCCTCTGACTGCTGGCAGTCTAGTCCCGTCGCTGGGACTGTGTGCCCAGTTTCCTTTTGAGATCCTAAAGACATTGCTTGATTGTTCTTCTCTGCTCTTAGCTGGCTTAAAGCTCTTCATTTTCCTTGGTCCTGCTGAGTGTGACTCTCCCACCTAGTTCTGGTGCTTGTGGGCAGGAGGGAGACGTGCGACCTTCTTGGACCTTGCTTTCTCTGTCTGGCCTCACAAGTAGCACCTGCCTGGGGGTGCTTTCTGTCCTCCAGGTCACGCGGCTGCAGTACCTCAATGCACTCCTGGCCACTCGGGCTCAGAACCTGCCACAGTCCCCGGAGAACGCAGACCTCCAGGTCATCCCAGGCAGCCAGACCAGGCTCCTCGGTGACAAGACAGCCCCAGCAGCAGGTGAGCCCCACAGGGCCACGTCCCCTGGTGTGGCAGCCCGGAGGGCGTGCGCGTCCTGTGCCGGTCCTTGCTGCTCCCGCACACACTCACTCTCTCTGCCCTGTGTTCCTCTTCCCTTGTCCCCTTTTCTGCGCATCCTTTCCTTCTCCTCTTCTCACTGTCTGAGTAGCTCTGATGACACTGTGCTGCGGGCCGGCTCGCGTGGAAAGTACGTGCGGTCAGCATTTTCTCTGGAGGACCTGTCAGCATGGGTTGCCTTCATTAGAGAAGAGCTAAATGGGAATAAAACCAAGTCCAGACACTCTTGGTCAGTTAGGATTGGGGTTGGGTCACCTGGAAAATGAAGATCCAGTCACCAGTGGGCCCGGCTCAGAAGGTGGCTGGCTGGTGGACACCATGCCAGGAGCTGAGAAGGGCTCCAGTTGAGATGTTTGGTCGGGTTAAGCTAATATTTAAGTCCTGCCCCTCACATCTAGGGTCCCACTGGGAGCCGGAAGACCGCGTTGGATGAAATAGATGGGGTGTGGGCTAGCAAACCCTGCCTTGTAGATAAAAAGGAGACTGTGCAGAGTGGGCTTTGGGTGGGAGTGCTAAAAAGTTAGGGAACTTTCTTGGTTTGGTCCTCAGGAAGGTACTTTCATTCTGATTGAGCCCCTAAGTTGGGGTCAGAGTTGCACTCGGGGGCTGGGTGGTCCTGGGTGAGTGGACGGGGCTTCCAGCAAGGCTGTGGCAGAAGCTGCGGGCTGCCAGCTGCCCTGGGCACTCTAAGGTGGGGACACCGAGCTCTCTTGAACACTGGCTCTGCCTGGCACTGTGCTAGGAGCTTTGCTCATCCTCACTCATCTAAGAACACGTCTCCATTCTCAGAGGTGGCAGTTGTTAGGCCCATTTTACAGCTGAAGAATCAGAAGCAGAGAGAGACCGAGGCACTCCGGCCTGGAGCCTGTGCATGCCCTTGGCCTCTGGGCAGTGGTGTCTCACAGGGAATAGCTCTGGTTATTTAGACCCGCGCTTGAGAACACGAATGTATTTTTATGATGGATACTTTCTGAGAGGTGATGTGCAGGTGCAAGGGACAGAAAACCCCGGCCTGGGCCTGTGAGTGGCTCAGCCCCTGAGCACTCCATCTCTGTGCATTGGTAAAAGGGGGTCCCAGTGTGAGGCGTGCTGCTCCAACCCTGGATCTGGGCCTTTTGGGCCTTCCTTGGTGAATGTGTACTGAGAAGTGGTGTTCTACCTTTTAGGACTGATCACAGTTCTATATTTACCCGCTGTGATGTTCTGTTCTTTTGTGAGAGGCCGCTTGTTCACACCATCACCTTAGACTGGGGTCTCAAAAGCCAGTACGTTTTTGTTTTTTCAAAATGTGAGCGTTTGGTTTTGGTTTTTTTCAATGTGAACCTTTTCTGGCTTCACCTGCTTACTCAAACTTCACATGGTCTGTTCAAGGTATAGACTTAAATCTAAGAACCATGGTTTTTCCTTCATTTCATGCTTTATTACACATGTAGAGTTTTTTGGGTTTTAGATTTTATTTATTCATAAGAGGCAGAGAGGCAGAGGGAGAAGCAGGCTCCAGGGAGAAGCAGGCTCCCCGCTGAGCAGGGAGCCCGATGTGGGACTCGATCCCAGGACCCTGGGATCATGACCTGAGCCGAAGGCAGACACTTAATTAACCATCTGAGCCACCCAGGAGCCCTATACATGCAGTTTTTTAAAGTCCTTTTGTGGCTTCAGCCGTTCATTGGGCCATCCTCTGAGGAAATACAGGTGTCCCCTGAAAGTTCGCTTCACGCCACTTTGCTTTTACAAAAGACTTAGGTCGTGCCCGTTTTCACTAACAAAGAACTCCGAAGAGGGGTTTTGCTTCTTGAAATGGTAATTGTTTCTTGGCTTTATGCCACGCTGGCTTAAAAAAGATTTCATGGGGGCGCCTGGGTGGCTCAGTCGTTAAGCATCTGCCTTCGGCTCAGGTAATGGTCCCAGGGTCCCGGGATCGAGTCCCACATTGGGCTCCCTGCTCAGCGGGAAGCCTGCTTCTCCCTCTCCCACTCCTTCTACTGTTTCCTTTCTCGCTGTGTCTCTCTCTATCAAATAAATAAATAAAATCTTAAAAAAAAAAATTTCATGGGAGCTCTCTGCTTTCGGAAAGCGGGGAAGCCCTTGACCTGCCGTGGCTCTGTGGGTCCTTTGCCCCTCAGTGACGGCTTACCCGCTTTGCGCGGGGGCCGGGGGCAGTGTCATAGCCAGAGAGGTCTACCCGAGGCGCCACCATGCTGATCATAATGGATTCCCCTCCCATCCTTTTGCCATGATGTGGGTTTTCCCCGAAATGTGGCCGGACGTTTGTCCGCAGTGAGGCTCGCCTGCTGTGTCCTGCTCCTTGCCTCAGCTCTCGGAGGTTGTGCTGCGGCTCATCTCTGCTAGGTGGCACTCCACTGCCCCCCAAGAGAGCTGTGTCGCTGCACACGTGGAGATGTCGCTGGGGACGTTGCTTAAATAGCACAGGTCAGAACCATCCCCCGATTGACTTTGGCACTAGATTCGCTGGCAGAAAAACGCCTTATTGAGATGCTTGGAAAATTAGTCACTGCCTGCGGCAGGATCGGCAGACTGGCCGGCTGCTGGGTTGGTAAATAAAGTCCTATTGGACCCTGCCCGTTTGTTTCTGGATTGTGTATGAGTGCCTTTGGCTGCAGCAGTGGAGCTGAGCTGTTGCCCCAGGGACTATGACCTGCAAAACCTAAAAATACTGGCCCTTTACAGAAAGTTTCCTGACCCCAGGCCCGTCCTGTCATACTCGGGGTAACCCCTGTACAGTGGTCATTCCCAGAGAGAGTCCATTCCAGACGCCGCGCTTCCTGCTCCCTGTGGTTCTGAGCCGCGGGCCGTGAGGGGCACCCCCCCCCCAGCATGCCCGCGGGGTGGCCCAAGCCGAGCGGCCCTGCCGGCGCAGCTGCACAGCTGGTGTCCTCTTGTCTCTCCCCTCTGCTCTCTCTAGCCTTCCCCGTAGACCTTTCCCTCTTTGGCACATTTGGAAACTGCAGTTGATAATTGACTGTGGACTAGTGAGCATTTTTTGTTTTCAGAAAACACCCAAGGTAAATATCTTCCCTTTCACTTTCTCTTTGCTTTCCTTCCCCAGCCCTCTAGCTGCCAGGAGGAGCTCTGGACACGGCCGCCCCCAGACAGGGAGGTGTTTCTCCAGGGGTGGGTGGTGTGAGGGGGCCCTTCCTGTCTTTCATTGCCACTTTTCATTTCATTATTCTGGAAGACTGACGGGGTCATGAAATAACCCACTTGGTGGTGGAAACTAAAGCTTCCTTCCGGTGCAGGGGCTTTCGTGTCCAGGGCAGGCTCCTCTCGCCCAGCCTTATGGCCTTGGCCTCCTGTGAGCAGAAACCCCCTGCCCTGCTTTCCTGCCTCTCAGAGACGCAGCCCTCCTCCCAGTGGTTTTCTCTTGGGAGGTGAGGTCAGCCTGACTGTTTTCCTGACTGCCCACTCCCGGCTCTGCCTTGATGCTGTGGTGTCCTGAGGCCCCTCTGCCTTGCCAGCCCCTTCCTGTCCTAAAGAGGATTTTGATACTTGGCTTTGATGGGACCTGCTTCCTTCACTGGCTTTGATGGTAATTCTCCTTTTCCTCTCTCCTCTAGGGCCCAACCACAGCAGACCCGGCCTCCCAGCGGAGGAGAGCCCTGGGCGGAACCCAGGGGTTTAACTGCTTGCCAGGCAGCCCCAGGTCTGGGGAATGGACAAGCACGTGGGGAACTGGAGAGCCGAGGAGTAGCTTGTCAGCCTGTCCCCATCCCCTCCAGGCCACGTTTTAGATGGCCCTTATAGATGTGGGTCCTGGGCTGTCCTCAGAGCCAGACCTCAATGCCGGGAGCCTTCAGCGGGTCCTGCCCTCCTTTAGGAAATGGGGGTCAGTTGGGGCACAGTCCTCCAGGCCTGCTTCTGAAGGGAATGGAAAGACACTGTCATCTCCGGTCCCCAGGACCCAGCCTTCTCCCTGTGACAGTGCAGTGTATTTATACCTCTTTGGGCCAAGCCATGATGTGAGTGCACGGTTACTGCCTTTACGTGGCCGTGACCTGTACTCGCTTCGCTTTCAATTTGCCAACCTTCTGCTGCCGGCAGCACTTTGAGCAAACCAGGAGCACTAGTTGGGGCTGGGGGGGTTCACATCCTTGGCCGTAGCCACAGTGAACGATTTGGCTTCCCTTACAATGCCGTGTTTCAGAGCACGCGCCCCAGCCTGTCCCATGTGCCAAACCTCAAAGCTCGATGACCCACCGGTATGTGCCACTGTCCTGCTCCCTCCTGTGGAGGTCGCTTCTCTGAGCCCTGTGCTCAGAGCCCTGAGCAAGAGAGCTGGCCCCCAGTGGCACTGAGGAGGCCTGCTCCTTCTGCTTCTCTGCCTGTCTTGCTTAGTTGCTTCTAACGGTATTGTCACTTTCTGTGTTTGAAGAAGAGAGGTCACCCATGGGAGGAAGGGGTGTGCTGCCCCTAACTCTTTCTCAGTTGCTCGATCCCAGGGAGAGGATCCAGCCGTTAGACCTACTTTGTACCTTCTTCCTAGGCCTCCATGGAGAGCTGGATGGCTGTCATTTGCACGGAGAGAGGCAAGGGAGGGAAGGGTTGGTTATGGAGCAGGTAGAACCTCATCCCCTTTCTTTAAAAAAACAAAAACCCATCAGTTTTTCTTGTATCTCTGAAACATTTCAGCTGTTTGCTTTTTTGCTGTTCTTAGCTGCGGGGTTTTAGAGAATTGGGAACAAGAAGGCATTTATGTTTTTCTTCTGGCTTACCCATTTTTACCTTCTGCAGTTCTTCAACTGTGCAGAAACTGGGGCGTCACAGAGACGTAGGATTGCAGACTGGATGGGGGGGGAGGATTTCTGGAACCTTTCTCAAAGGAATTTGGGTCCCTTATCTGGGACCGTTGGGAATGAAGGCCAAAGAACAATGGCATGCTCGCTTAGAAACTTCTCAAGGAGTTCTAAGAGCAAACCCGGGTGGGAAGCATATTTTACAATCATCTCTCTCCAGAACAGTGGTTCTTAACCTTGGCTGCACGTTAGAATCACCTGGCAAGTTGAAAAATACTGATACCTGATACTTGGGGTCTCCTCTTCCAGGGAGCCTGATTTAATTGATCTGGGCATGAGGATTTTATTTTTTGAAACAATTTTAATTTAAAAAAAAATTTTTTTTTTTTAAAGTGAGCTCCTACCCAACATGGGTCTTGAACTCCTGACCCTGAGATCAAGAGTCGTGTGCTCTACTGAGTCAGGCAGGCACCCCTGAAAAAATTTCAGGGTTACATAAGAGTGAAGGGTTATATCCATACACACTTCACCCAGCTTCCCCTAATGTTAACATCTTACATATAACCTGGTACATCTATCAGAACTAAAAAAATTAACATTGGTACAAACCTGTTAACTAATTACCGACTTTATTTGGATCTTAATGGTTTCTCCAATAATGTCCTTTTTCTGTTACAGGATCCAATTCTGGATACCAAGTTGCATTTAGAGTTACTGCTTTTTTCTAAGTCTTTATTTTGAAACAATTACAGATCCATAGGAAGTTGCAAGCTAGAGGGACCCTTCACCCAGTTTTCCTCAGTGGTTACTCTTACGTAGTTAGAACACAGTATCAAAACCATGAAGCTGACACTGGCACAATGTGGATGATCATTCTCTGTCCTCCCGGGTAGATCTGTGTAGCTGCCATTGCCCTCTCGATAAAGAGCCGTCCCACCACACGGGGATCTCCCTCCCATTAGAGCCATAGCACCCCCTCAGCTTCTGTCCCTAACCCCTGGCAACCACTAATCTAAGATTTTGTCATTTCAAGAATGTTGTGTAAGTGGGGTCATATAGTACGTGACCATCTGGAATTGGCTTTTTTCACTCAGCAGAATATTCCGGAGATGCATCCAGGTTGTTTGTGTCTAGTTCATTCCTTTTGATTGCTGCGTAGTATTCCTCGATATGTTCACTGTCCTGATGAAGGACATCTGGGTGGTTTCCAGTTTTTGGCTATTCCAAATAAAGCTGCTATGAACATTCATTCCTTCCAGGTTTTTGTGTTAACGTTGGTTTTCTGAGGTAAATGTCTAGTAATACAATTGCGAGGTTGTGTGGCCATTGCATTGTTTTTTTAAAGAAACTGCCACATGCCTTTAGAGTAGCTGTACAATTTTACGTTCCCACCAGCGACGTGTGAGTGATCCAGTTTCTCCAAATCCTCACCAGCATTTGGTGGTGTTACCATTTTTTATTTTTAGCCATTCTGGTAGGTGTGTAGTGAGATATTGTGGTTTCCAGTTGTATTAACATAATGGCTGGTGTATAGCTTTTCATGTGCTTTTGTGAAGTATCTGTTCTTGTTTTTCACCCATTTCTAGTTGGATTGTTTGGTCTTTTACTGTTGTTTTGAGAGTTCTTTATCCTAAATACTAGTCCTTTCTTGGGTTTTTGGTTTGCAAATATTTTCTCCCAGTCTCTAGCTTATTTTTTCATTCTCTTAACAGGATCCTTTATAGAGCAAAAGTTGTTAATTTTGATGAAGTGCAGTTTACCAGTTTTCTTTTACAGATTGTGCTTTTGGTATCATGTCTAAGAATTCTTTACCTAGTCCTAGATCCCAAAGATTGTCTCCTAGGTTTTTTTTTTCCCTAAAGTTTTTATAGTTTTATGCTTTATGTGATCCATTTTGCGTTAACTTTTGTGTAAGATTTAGGTCAAGGGTTTTTGTTTTTTGTTTTGTTCTGTTTTTTAGCCTGTAGACGTCCATTTACTCCAGCACCATTTGTCGAAAATGCTTTTTCCTCTATTGAATTTTTTTTTTTTTAAGATTTTATTTATTTGACAGAGACAGGGAACACAAGCAAGGGGAGTGGGAGAGGGAGAAGCAGGCTTCCCGAAGAGGCAGCCTGATGCAGGGCTCAATCCCAGGACCCCGGGATCATGACCTGAGCCGAAGGCAGACGCTTAACAACTGAACCACCCAGGCGCCCCTTGAATTTCTTTTACACCTTTGTCAAAAATCAGTTGGGCATATTTGTGTCTATTTCTGGGTTGTCTGTTTTGTTCCATTGATCTATGTATGTCCCTCCATCAGTACCACATTGTCTTGATTATTGTAGCTTTTTTTTTTTTTTTTTAAGATTTTATTTGAGCGAGCAGGGGAAGGAGCAGAGGGAGAGGGAGAAGCAGACTCCCCGCTGAGCCTGGAGCCCAGTGTGGGGCTTGATCCCCAGACTCCGGGATCATGACCTGAGCCGAAGGCAGATGCTTAACCTACTGAGGCACCCAGGCGCCTCGATTATCATAGTTTTATAGTAAGTCTTGAAATTGGGTAGACTGGCTCCTCCCACTTTTTCAAAATTGTTTTAGCTATGTTTCTATTAAAATTTGAGGGGTGCCTGGGTGGCTCAGTCGTTAAGCGTCTGCCTTCGGCTCAGGTCATGATCCCAGGGTCCTGAGATCGAGCCCCGCATCGGGCTCCCTGATCTGCTGGAGGCCTGCTTCTCCCTCTCTCACTCCCCCAGCTTGTGTTCCCTCTCTCGCTGTGTCTTTCTCTGTCAAATAAATAAAATCTTTAAAAATAGATAAATAGTTGAGATAGAGTGAGAGAGCACGGGGGGGGTGGGGGGCTCAAAGGGAGCGGGAGAAGCACACTCCCCACTGAGCAGGGAGCCTGATGTGGGGTTTGATCCCAAGACCCTGAGATCATAACCTGAGCCAAAATCAAGAGTTGGATACTTAACCAGCTGAGCTACTCCGGTGCACCTTACTGAGTTTTTAAATCATCTTATTAACTATATCTACAAAAAAATCTTGCTGGGATATTTGGTAGGAGCTGCATTAAAGCTGTGTATCAATTTGGGGAGAATTGACATCTTTACTAGATCTCAACTTCCAATCCACGAACAAGGTATGTCTCTCATTTATTTGTCATCTTTGATTTCATTCATTGGTGTGTTGCAGTTTTCAACATACAAGTCCTTAAGTGTTAGATTTACATCTAAGTATTTTGTTTTTAAAGTCAACTTTAAGTGGTACTGTGCTTTTAATTTTTGTGTTCATGTAGTCATCGCTAATATGTAGAAATACGTCTTTGTAGGTTTATCTTATATCCTGAGATCTTGCTGAACTCCCTTATTCTAGGTGTTTTTTGTAGATTCCTAAGGATTTCCTCCATGTCGTCTGCATGATGATGGGGATACCTGGGTCCCACCCCTAGAGACACTGATTTAATTAGCTTGCACATCAGGTCTTTTAAAACCTTCCTTGTGATTGTGTTAAGCAGCCAAGGCTGAGAACCACTGCTCTTTGAACTTGGCCATCAACGAGCGGAGAGATGCCTTGAGCACAAAGAGCCAAGTGCCTGGACTCCCGACTCTGCACTTGGGGGCCTGTCTTGCTGTCAGGCCAGTATGGTTAACAGGTTGAGCTTTTGCTGCTGAGGAAGACCAGGTCCTGGGCCTAATGAGCTGCCCCCACCGCCCAGCACAGAACAGACAGCTAGGCTGTGATGGATAGTCAACAGTTTTAATGAACAAAAAATGAACTGTATAAAAGGCCTCCATCTTCTAGATGGAGAGTTGTCTTCTCCATGAACTTGAACACCTGTTTCTCCTATGGCTCCAAGCACCGGGGTGAACTGTCACCACAGTTCCCCTGCAGGGCTGGAGCTGCACGTGGCAAGAGGTGTATGGGGGCTGTAGTCGCTTTTTCACATGGAATAGCCTTGTGCTTGGCCTAAGAAGGCCACCAGCGTTAGACTAGAAAGAACTGCTGCAAAATGGATGTCCATCCAGGTACTTTATGTACATGAGGGAGGCTGACCCTTCATCAGCTGGTGTCTCTGCCTGTGGTTCTCCATTTGGGGCAGAGTTCCTTAAAACTCACTTTGTGCCAGTTCAGGACCCAGCCGCCAGCACAGCATGAAAGAGAAAAGGCGGTAAGGGGAAGGAAGCGTGAGGAGAACTTGTGTGCGGCTGGGTCCTAAACCCGCCACCACGCAGCCGAGGGGGGAGCGGGAGGGGTGCTGCTCGCTCTCTGCTTCCCCTCCAGGGCTGAGCAGGTGCGGCCGCGTGGCCCAGGCCAGAGCTCAGGCTCTACTGCTAGGGTGACGTTGCCTGGGGCAAAGGAGGGTTGCGGGCCGCCACCCCAAAAGTTGGGTGGGCCACAAGCAATCCCCAGCTCCCAGGCATGTCACCCCTGCAAGGGGCGCCATCAGCTAGCCAGCTAGAGAGTGGCAGGCAGGCTGACCAAGGCCTGCAGACGTAGGCACGAGGTTTCCGGAAAATAAACGTGAGCTCTGGCTTCTGAGGCAACCATGCTGGTACTGGGCGGGTGCTGCACTGGGGCCTCAACCCTGTCGGGCACCCCCTCCAGCCTGCCACACCCAACTCCGGGAGCTGTAAAGCCCGAGCTGGCTGCAGCCACTCCACCGGCTCTCAGGCTTGCTGCTGCTGGCAGTGGAGTCCCCAGCGAAAGCCCTGCCCCGAGGGCCTCGGCCAGCTGCGGGCGTGCCCCATAGCCGTGTGGCCTGGATGGCGGCTGCCGGCTGCAGGCTGCAGCCCCACCGGGCGGGAAACTGGCCCTTGTGGAGGGAGGGGCTGAGTCGCCCAAGGCGGAGGATTGGGGGGGGGCATCGAGCGCCCAGCCCTGGGCAGCTTGAGGCTTAGGACTCTTCGGTTTTGCTCCAACCTGGGCTGCTGGGGACCCACTTTGTGTCCGGCTTCCCTGGGGTTCCCCGTGTCAGCCCTTCCTGGTGCACAGCGCAGCGGGGAGCAAGTCCTCGCCGACCCTCTGTCACCTGCTGGGCGGGGCTGGCCAGAGGGACGAGGACCACAGAGGGGTGCGGACGACCAACCGTGAGGGCACGCGGGGGGGGGGGGGGGGGGCGGTGAAGAGGGTGGAATGGTGGCTGAGAAGTGACCCTGCGGGACTGCGGGCGGCAGGACCGGGTGCAAGGGTGTCCTGTGGGGGGCCTGCAGTGCTTCCCGGACGCCCTGCTGCCCGTCTTGCACCAGCTGCACTGGGGTCCCCGAAGCTTACGAATGAGGGCCCTGGATCAGTTTTTTTCTCCTGCGTAGGAGCCCCCCCCCCTCCTCAGACCAGGGGGCCGGGGCCTAGCATATTCCACAGCCTGGCCCTACGGAGCAGCAGCACCCGCGTGGTTTTGTAGTGGCCATGCCACGCAGCCTCATGCACAGCTGTGTACCCTTCCTTTGGGGAAAGGGGGCTCCTCCTCCTGACAACGCCCCCACTGCAGGGTCCAGTGGGCACGAGCGGTCGCCGAGCTCAGGCTCCCTGAGTCCCCATCCCCTGGTGGAGCAGACCCAAACCAAACAGCAAGCACCTGCCTCGTCCTGGGCATCAGTGTGGGTCCACATGCGACGATGCTCCAGGCAGTCACTGTCTCATGCGCACTGCCAGGTGGGGGGGGGGGGGGGGTGCTCCAGATCTAAGGGGTGAGAATTCCTGTCACCCTCCAGGGGGAGGCCACCTTGCAACACCAAGGGGCTGTGCTTTCTCTTCCCTGGGAACAGGCCACCCCGCAGCAGCGCGTCCCGCACCGTCGCGGGCGTTGACCTGGGCTCCCTGGTTAAGCAGCTGTTTGAGGATGTCCAGGTGTCGCCCACAGCAGGCCCAGAACACCGGCGTCCTGTCCAGCCACCAAACAAAAGCACCGACGTACAGACACGCTCTGATGTGGACAGGGTCTGCCATGACGGTGGGTCCTCCCCGGTTCTCACCAAGTCGCGAGTGTCCACGGCGGCACCTGCCTCCACCAGCTTGGTCATGAGCTGGCCGTGACCCTTCGGACAGGCCCAGTGCAAGGCGGCGTGGTGCAGCTGGGGGTGGAGACGGGACATCAGGCGGAGTATGGCCACCCCCTAGAGGCCTGGCCCTGGGTCCTCGTCCCAGGACTAGCTTCCCCAAATGCACACACCAGCTCCCTGCTCGCACTGAGGGCCCCTCCCTCCCAGCTCCGGAAAGGCCCACAGTTTCCCAGGCCAGGACTGGAACACACGGGGGATAGCACCCCTGCAGCTCTGATATTGTAGTCTGAGTCCCCCCGCTTGCTACCTTGTCATGGGCACTGGGGTCCCTTCCATCTATCAGGTACTTGCCAGTCAGGGCCTCCCGGCTCTCGGCAGCTGCCTTCAGGAGCATCTCCAGGCCCACAGACTCCAGCTGGGCCTGGGGCTGCGGCTGGGTAGGTTATAGGACCAGACCAAATCACTTTCGCAAAACGCGGTCTTCACCAGTCTAGCCTAGCAGCTCCCAAGAGCCGGCTGAGGACTACATGTTGGTTGGTGGCTGCTCCAAACTGTAATTCTTAACCCCCTTCCCCACCCCAGATTCGGACCGACGGAGCACCTATTACACCCATTATGGGTTGCCGTGCCCCCCCCCCCAAGTTTATATGTTGAAGTCCCAACCCCAGGACCTCAGAATGCGGCCTTATTTGGAAATAGGGTCATTGCGGCTGTAATTAAGATGAAGTCACGCGAGTAAAGTGGGCCCTAATCCAATGACTGGTGTTCTTAATGAAAGGGGACGTGGGCACAGCGGCATAGTGTGAGTGTCATGTGAACTCAGGCAGAGATCGGGGGGAGGCACCCACAAGCCGAGGCATACCAAAGCTAGCCACCAAGCACCAAAAGCTAGAAGACTGGCGGGGACAGATTCTCTCCCACAGCCGTCAGACTTTGATCTCAGACTTCCAGCCTCCAGAACTGGGAGAATCAATCTCTGTTGAAGTCACTGCGTGTGTGGTCCTGGAGGGCTGTGGGGCCTCCAGAACGGAGTCTGTCCAGCTCAGCAGGCCCTGGCGGTGTCTGCTCTTCCCCAAGCCCTCCCGCAGGGACAGGAAGTGCTTCCTCACAAACTCAAGCCCCAGGTGTTCACCCCCCCACCCCACCCCGACTTCTCACCTTAACCACGGGCTCACGTGCCCTAGGGGGGACTCTGCATTTCAGTCACCTCTCCCCCCCATCTTTGAACCGTTTTCCAGGTCAGCCAGAGTCTCCAGATTCAGTCTGGAGCTGTTAAATCTCTCAAGCTGGGGCACAAGAGCAGACCAGCGGTCAGCCACAGGGTGCCAAGGCCTCAGGGACAGGCTCCGGGTTGGTCTGGCCCTCGCCTCTCCCGCCCACAGGAGGGACCCCAGCCACCCGAGGTCCTCGGGGCTCAGAGCCTGCCCGCCTCGAGGTTGGCACCTGCCACCCCCCATCCCCAGCACTGCTTTCTTCTCTTCTCCCAGTTTCCACCGCTCCCGGGCCACGGCCTCTTGGGCTCCCAGCCTCCAGACCCCAGGCCCGCCTCCAGGATCAGGAACTCCATGTCCACATCCCGACACTTTGTTTCCAACTCTGTCTCCACGTACCTGTAGGAGCGAGATAAGGATAAAGACTCAGAAAAATGAGGAAGCCTTAGGCAACACAGCTGTGCAGTACAGGGATCCTGACAAGAGCTGACCTACAGAGATAGCGTTGTGGATGTGAGAGTGGCCTGACCTTGGCGAAGCTTCCTGGCGCTCTGCTGGCATGCTCCCTGATGCCCATGGCTCTTGGCTCTCACCCACTGTAGTGTTGCCCAGGGCCCAGGAGGATAACTGCCGCCTACCATGTCCTGTCGCGGGACATAGGGTTGGGGGCATGACACCATGTCTATTTATACTGCTGGGCTTGTGTCCAGGTACGCTCAGGACAGGTGACACCTCAGCTTCCCTCCTGGGCTGTCGTCCTTACATTCCTATCAGGTCACGCCATACTGCCACCTGACCCCGAGCTCAGAGGAACAGAGATGCCTCCTGGGTAAAATTCTGAATTCCTGGGTTCAAATCTTGGCTCTTGTGAAACTGTTTCTTCATCACTAGAATGGGATAAAACTAGCACCTAGCTCAAGGGGCTGTGAGGAGGAAACTGGGGCAGAACCCACCATACAGTGATCTCTTCCTTCCTGCCCCCACCAGGGTTCAGGAGCTGGGAAGCACTGAGGAATAAGCACCCTAGGGGAGAGGGGAAAAAGTTGGGATAATAGAATGGTAGAGCCTAGGGCTTCCAGCCACAGAGAACGAACGGTGTTCTCTTCTAAAGCCAACGCCGGCAACCTAACACTCCTCTGGGCCTGCAAGCTGCCTCCGCACCCCCCCCCACCCCCGCCGAGAGGCTGCAGCGGGCAGGGTCACAGTGGGGCTTGCTGAGCAGCGTGACTCCTGGGCCTCCCGGGCCCCACCTCACCAAAGTGTCACCGGTGTGACCGTTCCTCTCTCTGCCCAGGGAACTCAAGAGCACCCTTCTTCCTCCCCAACCAAGGCAGCCAGACCCTCTGGACCATTTCCAGAGCAATGGCTATGGCAGCAGCTGAGCTCAACCCACGCCGCAGCTACACTCGTGTGTTCTGAAGTAGCCTCCGTTTCCTGTTTTGCCATCGCAGTCCAGGGGAAGACTCCCTAAACTCGAGGGTTCTCACGTCTACACCATCACCCAGTATCTTCCCGTTGCTTCGTCTGTCACCACCTCACAGAACTGGACAGAAAACAACTGCCTGTTTCTGCTCCTGCACCTAATCCTCCGACCACAGGAAGCAGCTGCCCTCCTCCAGCCGGACCTCCTGGTTCTGCTGGGCCGGCCTGGGGACGTCTAGACCATGACCTGCCTCCCACCCCCGCCGCCACGTGTCCTTACCAACTACTGGATGCTGAGGACGTCCATGGTCCCCCGCTCCCCCTGCTCTTCACGCCCCCAGCGAGAGGAGCTGAGCTGCTCAGCCCTTTTACAGGAGAGCTGGCTCCTGGGGGCAGGGCAGGCCAGGGGCTTGTGCCCGGGCCAGATAGCTCAGTGGTTCTGTAACGCTGACCAAAATACCAGTGTGGGCGTGCAGCCCGCTGAAGGCAGGAGCTGCTTTGAGCTGCATGAGGTGCAGCCTCAGACACCCACTCTCCTGCACCTGTGCCATCCCCTACACCTGCTCAGGAGTAATTCGGCCAATGTGTGGCCAGGGGTGCCTGGGTCACTAGAAAAAAGTCGAGCGTGAGCCTCCATGTTGCCACAGGTCTAGGTGCCTGAGACCCTGAAAGACCCAGCCAGCCTATTCTAACCAAAGGAAGCCAGAATCCTAGAGAGGACCTTGGGAAGGAAAGGCCCAAGAGGCTGACGTCTGCGGCAGGAATCCGCATGGCACCTACAGGAGATCAGGCTTCAAGCAACTTCCCCACTCCCAGCTTCAAGGCTGCCCTCCATACTTTTGCTTTCCTAGCCCAGGCGCCCCCCACTTCTCCCTCACCACTCCGAGAGCCAGTGTATTAAACTACACCACGGCCAGGAGCCAAGTCCAGCCTGTCATCAGCAGCCCCTGCCTCTTGAAAAGCCTTCCATGCCCCACACATGCAGGTCCCTACCTGATGCTCTCCTGGGCAGGGAGCGTGCCATCCCACAGAGAAGCTGGACTGAGACCCTCTCCGGGTCCAAGTATGGAATGTTAGCCATTAATCTAGTCACAAATCAACCTGTCTCAAGCCACCAAAGTCAAACTTCCTCATTTAAGATGCCCAGCATGCTCTTCACCCAGCTGGGCCTTGAATTCTGCCTTGACCTTTGAAAGGAAATCTGATAGTAAATAAGACTCCCGAACTGGAACTATATGAGCAGGGCTGACCAGAACAAGAGGGAGGGAGAAGTACAGGTCAAGGACAGCCCAAGGCCCCAAAGGGCTGGGAATGGTTCCACCCACAGCTGGCTTCTCAGTAAATACATCCAAGTTCTGAGACTTAGGGAACCCAGAGCTTTTAAAAGAAACTCAGTCCTTATGTGTCAGGGGTTTTTGTCAAAGGTGATTTCTTGCCTTTGGTTATGAAAAGGGAGAGCAGCCTAGACTAGAGTGAGGGTAAGAAAGACAAGACAGACTTTGGCTTTGGTCTCTATCTGCCGACTCTAAAACTCTTCTTCAACATTCAAGGACAAGGGCATCTTCAACACGCTTCATCTGAAATTCTCACCAGAAAACTAGTTTCTTCCACAGGAAATTGGTATTAATTCTTACAAAAAATTACTCCTTGTAAAAAACTGAAACATAACCAATAAAGCTCAAGATGCACTTGACAAACCATTCTCACCACAGCAGACCAAGGGACACCCCAGGTACCAGTGTAATATGTATCAACATTTTTCCTGTAATTTTGTGTACGTACATACAGGTTTCCATAGACAGGTCTGAAGAGGCATCATACTGTGACTGCACCTCAGCACACTTTCCATGTTAGTCTCACACTGCACTCCAATGACACATGTACCAGAATTTAATCCTTTCCCTAGCAGGGAGCACAGCACTTAGCTTACCTCCTTTCTTCCTTACATTATAGCACAGCTCTGTAGATGTCTCTGTAAGTAAATTATCTTTGTATATGTGGGTATTTCTCTAGGTGGCTACAGAGATATCAAATTATTGGCCCTCATCTAAATTTTAATAGATATTTCCAAACCCCCATCTGAGGTGGGTATACCAATTTCCATGAACAGATACCAACAAAGTGATGGTAAAAAAAAAAAAAAATATATATATATATATATATATATATAAAAACAAGATTAATATCCAGAATACATAACTCCAATGAATCAATAAAAGGAAGAAAATCTTTAAACAGGCCATAGTTATGGACAGGAAGTTCAGCGAAGACAGGCGGTCTATCAGGTTGTTAAAACAAAAGGTGAGGAAGTGTGCACTCTGACAGTTTGCAGCATGCCTGGCACACTCTGGTGCCCTCCATATATTCGCTCATTTAACCTCCACAAGGCCACCGAAGCAGGCCATTATAATCATCCTCACCTCACAGATGAGGAAGCAGGGACAGACGGGCAAAGTGACCTTTCCCAAGGGCATTCAGCTAGAAAGCAGCTTTTAATTTGTCATATGTCCCAGTTTCTTCTAATACTTACGTAGTTCTGTTTTTCTACTTAAGTCTTTAATCTACTTGAAATTTATTTTTGTGCATGAGATGAGGTAAGGCTACAACTTTATTTTTTCCAAACGGATAAATGTTTCCACATGAACTAATTTAGAATATGATCATCTCTCCAGGCTTAAGCACTTGCAGCCCCACATCTACTCCCTCACTCCCAGAGTGGCCAGAATAGGGCTCTTCAGGCTTCAGGTTTCCACCCTGCAGCCCGGATGCTGGCCAAGGCAGGGGCTAGGAGGGCTAGTCTGGGTCCTCTTGCAAGGCAGCCTGAGACAGAAAGGTGGTGGCTCAGGTGGCCAACAGGTCCCACAGGTCACTGTCGCAGGGCAGCAGGTCACATGCTAGTCGTGCCTTCCGATCCCGGACAGCCTTCAGGGCTGGGCTGTGTTCTAACAGCAGGGAGCAAATGTCCACATGACCCTTCTCAGCAGCCTGTGGAGAAAGATGCCCGAATCAAAAGCCATATCCCCACTGGGCTCTACCCTTTCTTGCTCCACTTCGGGGAATCTCTTGGTCCTAAAACAGGTCTTATGGAAATGGGAGACACAGGCTATTTGAGTAGATTTCCCCTAATCCCTACCAAATCCCAACAACTTGCATAAAGATTGGTGGAATTCTCTAGTGCCATTCCTGGCGGTTAGCTTGAGTTTTTCTTTCTGGTGTCCTCTGCTCAGCAGCCATTCTTCTCTGTCCAGGCCTGCACATTAAAAATAAATACAGACGGGCACCTGGCTGGCTCAGTTGATGGAGCATGCAACTCTTGGTCTCAGGATTGTGAGTTCAAGTCCCACGTTGGGTATAGAGATTACTTAAAAATAAAATCTTTAAACAAACAAAAACAAATATAAAACCTTGGATCTCTAAGTGTCTTTTATAAATGTTCAGTCATCTATCAGCTGGGCACCGTAGGCACAAGATACACCAGACACGGCCTCTGCCCTCTGGGAACGCACAGATGAGCAGAGAAAAATGGGTCCAGGTTCCCGGCTTTCTCCTCTTCCTTTGAAATAGACGATCCCAACCTGGACGTCAATTTTTAACCTACCTCCTCCAGAAAAAAGTGTTAAGGTGATTTACACAGATTAGCTTATATAACTTTCATGATAACCGTAAGAGGTAGGAACTATCATCATTCCCACTTTATAGATGAAGAAACAGGCTCATACAAGGTAAGTGACTTATCCAATGTCACAGTGCTGGTGTGGGAGCCTGGGGGACCCTAAAGCAGGTCTGACTGCCAAGTCTCAACTTTAACAACCATGTTATAGCACTCTATTCCCTGCTCTTCCCAACAGTCACTGATGTACCACGGGGCTTTTGAGAGGTATCAATATTAGTAGCAAATACCACCTCAAATTTGAATCCAGATCTTTATTTAGGAGGTCCTCTTGATGAGTACAGACCTAAGGTTCTCAGTTTTGTTGCCTCAATTCAGGCAGTGGTATGTTGTGAGCAGTTCTGGGGTGCATTCTGGGGAGATGTGAAATGCATTCCAAAGAATTTTGTAGAAAAAAAAGTACCAAAGTTTGCAAGTAGCTTATTTGTTAAAAAAAAAAAAAAGAACAATTCCTAACTCTTCCCATATCTGCATCTCCTGAAGGAAAGGCTGGAGATGCATTGAAAAAGCCTCAGGCTGTAAGACCAGCCAGCACCATGCACGCAGTGTCCCGCCATACACACCCTCCAAGGGAGTTACACCGTCTGAGCAACACCAGTGTAGACCATCAAGGAATAAGCAATCTGCCTCTTCAACTGGCAAGGATCTTAAAAAAATAAAACGCCATCCAGTTGTTCACTAAGCAAATATTCACTGGGCACCTGTGCTAGGAGCTGGGGCTACCACAGTAAACAAGATCAAGTCTTCACTGTCTCTGGGGAGAGAGAGCTCAGACGGAATTTAGGAGGGAGAAAAGTTATGAGGAGTCAAGTGCAGGGTGCTTTTGCACACACAGTTGGGGGAGCTACCCACGTCTGAGAACAGGAAAGCTCTCTGAGAGTGTGATGTAGAAGCTAAGATCCAGAAGGAAGGACAGAAACAAGCCAGATGAAAACCGGGAGAGGAGAGGCATCGAGCTGGGGATAGCTTGACAGGTAAGGTCCTGGAGTGTCAACCATGACAGGGTCAAGAAAGGGGGCCTGAGGGGGCGCCTGGGTGGCTCAGTCGTTAAGCGTCTGCCTTTGGCTCAGGTCGTGATCCCAGGGTCCTGGGATCGAGCCCCGCATCGGGCTCCCTGCTCCACATGAAGCTTGCTTCTCCCTCTCCCACTCCCCCTGCTTGTGTTCCCTCTATCACTGTGTCTCTGTCAGATACATAAATAAAATCTTAAAAAAAGAGAGAGAGAAAGAAAGGGGGCCTGAGTGTAAGTGACAAGGGGATGGGAGCTCAAGAGAGTGGCACCTGGCTGGTTCAGTCGGAAGAGCATGAAAGTCTTGATCTTAAGTGGGGAGTCTGAGCCTCATGTTGGGCATAAAGATGACTTAAAAGAAAGAAAAGAAAGGAAAGAAAGGAAAGGAAAAGAGAAAAAAGAAAGAAAAAAAGAGAAAAAAGAAACTGGAGGAGGGAAATGTTGACATCTTCCCTTGAGTGCACGCCAAGGGTACTATTATCTGCAAATCCTTGGACAATGAAATACATCTGGCTTCCTAAAACTTCAGTTGGTCCTTGAAACAGCCCCCCACCCAATTTTTTATTATGGTAAGAACACTTCACATGAGATCTGACTTCTTAACAAATCTATTTTTTTATAATTTTTTGGTAATTGTTTTTTGTTAAAGGATAGCCACACACCCCCATCCACACCCAACGCAGCGCTGAGATGACGAGTCCCATGCTCTACCGACTGAGCCAGCCAGGCGCGCCCCCTTCTTGACAAACTTCAAGTTTGTTAAGCACGGTCACCTACTGACACAGTGCAGATCTGCTGCGCTTCATCAGCTCCCCTCAGGGACGCTGTGCCAGCTCAACAGCACCCCCCCACACACACACAGCCCCGGCAACCACCATCCCACTCTCTGCTTCTGTGTTTGACTATTTTCTACACAGGCACACCTCATTTTGTTGCACCTTGCTTTACTGCACTATGCAGATACTGTGTTTCTACAAAGTGAAGATCTCTGGCAACGCCGCACCGAGCAGGTCTATTGGTGCCATTTTCCAACAGCATTTGCTCACTTCGTATCTCTGTGCCACATTTTTGTAATTCCTGAACTACTTCAAACTTTTTCATCATTATTATATTTGTCATCTGTGATCACTGATCTCTGATGTTACTACTCTATTTTGGGATGCCTGAACTGCACCGATATAAGACAGAGGAGCTAATCGATAATGTATGGGTTCTGACTGCTACCCCAGTCTTTCTCTCTGCCTTGTACCTCCCTACTCCCTGAATGACAATACTGAAAGCCAGTTAATAGCCCTGCAATGGCCTCTCAGCGCTCCAGTGAAAGGAAGAGTCAATGTGGCAAAGTCCATTGCTGTCTTATTTCAAGAACCAGTGTGCCACAGCAGTTTCTTAAACCTTCAGCAACCACTACCCTGAGCTCCCTGATACGCTGAGCAGTTATCCACATCGAGCTAAGACCCTCTACCAGTTAAAAGATTACAACTTGCTGAAAGGTCAGATGATGGCTAGCATCTGTTAGCAATAAAGTATTTTTAAATTAAGTTTCATACATGATTCTTTTGGACATAATGCTATTGTACACTAAATAGCCTACAGTATAAACATAATTTTTATGTGTCCTGGGAAACCAAACTTGTCCGACTTGCTTTATGACCGTGGCCTGCGTATCTCAGAGGCGTGCCTCTATAAGGTGTATCATGAAGTATAAAAAACAAAATCAAAACCTGCTACATTTTTTTTTTTAAGATTTTTATTTATTTGACAGAGACAGCAAGAGCAGGAACACAAGCAGGGGGCGTGGGAGAGGGAGAAGCAGGCTTCCCGCTGAGCAGGGAGCCCGATGTGGGACTCGATCCCAGGACCCTGGGACCATGACCTGAGTCGAAGGCAGCCACTTAACGACTGAGCCACACAGGCGCCCTGTATTTTTTTAATATATCTACTAGTGTCTCTACCAAAGTGTTACCCCCACTCCCACCATACATTAAAAAATAATGATTATAACATGGTATTCAACAGTCAGGTGTACAAAATAAAAACAAGAACTCTATCTTTGTGGCCGTAACATTTCAAGGCTGCTGTCGCTAAGCAAGCACCTTTCTGTCCTACCATGTTTCTGAAGTCCAGGTTGCTTGCTGGGGAATCTGCCAACCCCTAGGTGTCTCTGTTACGGGCTGGGGCGACGGAGTAGAGTGTGCGGAGTAGGAACACTGGCTCCTAAAAGCTCTCCTCCTGGAAAAAAAGCTCGTCAGTGTGTCTTGTCTTCTAGTGGCTGAGAACTCGCCACACTAGGGAGCGGAACATAGTCTGTGATTGTAGAGCCCCGTCTGAGAGACAGGTCTCTAATATGAAAAAGCGAGCACAAATTTTTGGTGGACAGCAAAAAGCGTCTGCCATAGGCTCTCACGGTAAGTCATGCAGTCAACTTACATTTTTCTATTTTAAAGTTCATAAGAGAATACATTTACACACGCACACCATAAATATGCATAAACCGCTTCTCTAAAATGCATAAGCAATCAGTAAAAGTGATGCCTTGAGCAGGGTGTCCCAGAAGACTGAGGGACCAGGGGTCAGGGTGGAAGGGAGACATTTTCATGCTGCACTGTTTTGTACTCCTCAAACTCTTCACCAAGTATAGGTATTTCTGGTCAGCAGAAAGTGAATGAAGTGGTCACCCTGGCTACCGTACAGCAAGCAGGCTACATGGGTAGGCGAGAGTAGATGTGAGCTTCAGAAAACTGACTTCACGGAAAAGCATTCATGACATATCATGAAAGCAAAGGAAAAAAAGATGACGCCGTATGTGTAATTCTAATTTACACACCCAGGGAAAATGCTGGGGCACTGGACATTAACCCTCAAGTGATGACTGGTAAGCATGGACATTACAAGTGCTTCTCTGCTTTCCCCGTGTTTGCTCCACTGAACAAAAGCCAAGATTGTGAAGCGGGGAGGGCGGCATACCTTGTGCAGACTGGTCATGCCATCGTCGTCCACCAACCTAGGGTTGGACCCGTGAGACAGCAGGAGGCGTGCGATTTCGGTGTGCCCACAGTAGCTGGCCCGGTGCAGCGCGGTGGCGCCCCCGTGCGTTTGGGCGTCACACTTAGCCCCGCTCTCCAGCAGGAACTGGCACACGGCATAGTGCCCATTGCGGCTGGCATAGTGCTGCAGGGAACGGAAAGCGAGGTCAGACAGAGCCCAGGCAGGCGGCAGGGCGGTGGGCGGGGGAGAGCGTGGGCTCTGGAGCAGGCTACAGGGTAGGCGAGAGGACGGTAATGACCTCAGGGGCCACGTCCGTCAGCCGTGTGACCTGAACAAGCTGCTTCATTTCTACCATCAGCTTCCTCAACAGCAAAGTGGGGATAATAATCATTCCTACCTCACAGGATTGTTAGGTAAACGAAATTATAAGTGATGTAAAGCACTTAACACTAATTAAGGAAAAAAACAAACCAAGAACAAGGTTCACACAATGCTTGTGTGCTTCTTCCACAAAACCTGCTGGGAGAGAAGAACGGGCGGCAGCACAGGCAACAACCCCCACCCCCGCCAGAGAGGGCAGATACCCCGAGTGGGAGTCCCCTCCGCAGCTCACCAGAGCCGTGTAGCCAGCCGAGTCGGGCTGGCTAGGGTCTGCTGCCTTCTGGATGAAATATTTCACTCGGCTTAGGTCTCCATTCAGGGCTGCCGACCAGATTCCTGTGGAAAGACAACCAAAGTGCTGAATAATGCTGAATGACTGGAGACTTTCAGTGCTTCCTTGACTTCTTGACCACCATTTTCTCACCTATAAAATGGGGGATTTACTCATTCCACAAATATTAACTGAGGGGCTCCTGGGTGGCTCAGTCAGTTGCGTGCCTGACCCTTGGTTTGGGCACAGATCATGATCTCAGGGTCCTGGGATCAAGCCCCGAGTCAGACTCTGCGCTCAGCTTGAGATTCTCTCTCCCTCTGCCCCTCCCATAAATACATACATACATACATTAATTAATTAATTAAACAAAATCTTTTAAAAAATTTAACTGAAATCTCTGTGCTAAGGACTGTCCTAGGAGCTGGTGAGAAAGCTGTGAGCAAGACGGACAAAGGGGCTTTATCTAATCAAGGCAGTAGGGCTGGACTGGCGCAAATCCCTTCTTCCCACTTCAAACACATAAATATTGAATAAAGTAATGTTTCAAATGTCCGAATACACAGGCAAATTCAAAAGCAAGATAAGGACACTGCGAGTTGCCAGAGAAGATGAAACCCATAGCCAAAGTGGTGAGCAGGTACTCCATCTGCAGAAACCCCAAAGTCCTTGTAAACAGACACACATCTTAGAGGCTCCGGCTTGAACAACTAGGCAGAGTCTGGAGCAAAGGCCGCAGGGCATGTGCATGGCCAGGAACAGACACAACAAGGTTCCGCGCACAAAGCTGGGAGACAGGAAGTACCACCTCATGGGTGAACTGGGACTAGAAAATCTCTACTTTCCTGAATAGCAGCAGAAAGCAAGCTACCAGGCCCAGGCAGTTCACTCATTCAGCAAATATTTACTGAATACCTATCAAGTATCTGGCACTGTTCTGCGTACTAGAGGCCAGCCCAGAATTAAAGGTCCCCAATCCCCAGGGCTGCCCCAAAGCTTTGGTCTTATGGAGGTTACTTTCTAATTAAAGGAAACAGATGAGAAAAAAAAATGAGAGGAATCAGGTGGTGCTAAGGGCTATGAAGAAAAAGAAAACAGAGAAGGGATACAAGCAGTGGTCAGGGATGGCATCTCTGATAAGGTGATATCTGAAGAGAAACTTAAATGAGAAAGGCACCATTTCAAGAGGTGTGAGAAGACAGCAAGGGCCGAAGAAACTTGGAGATATATGTATACATATATTTATTTATTTTTGCATTTTTCCCATCATGTAAACTTCATTAACTGTATGATATCTTTTCCAGCTTTATGGAGAAATAGTTGACATACATCACTGTATAAGGGGACCTGTATCTTTTTATAGCCTCAGGGAGCAAAACCCCCAAGCTAAGGATCTGTCATAAAAATGGATCCAGACGGTGAATGCTATAAGGGCTGAGCAGAGGCAACTTTTAAAAAAAAAATGTCCCATAAGGATACTTCCACAAGCCAACAAAGGTGTGGCTCTGTTGTGGATAATCTCTAACAAGAGAAGACACCCCCTGCCCCCCGTGAGCTCAAAAATTAAAAGTTGCAAAGAGGTAATCCACTGCCACAAGAGATAGCAAATACAACCAATGGAAAAATGCATACTTCCAAAATGAGCCATAGATCCCCCGCACGCCGCGCTCAGTGTCTAGAACCCCGCAACTGCTGTGCTCAGTTCGCCTGCATCTGAGCCTACTGAAGGGATGCTGTAGGGACAGAAGGCATGGAGGACTTTAGGACTCGCAGGACTGCTGTTAGTACAGTAGCCACAAGTGAGAAAAATCCAGCCTCAGAATCTGCCCCCTTTGGTGAAGATACTCAGCAAGTTCTTGTCACAGTAGCATCCGTCAGGATTGCCTCTTCAAAACTGGATCCAAAGTGTGCAAAACAAAGAAAAGATGAATAAATGAAGGGACTCCCCAGAGGCCCATGGGGCACAATAGGCAGAACAGTGGAGCCCTGGCCTCTCCTGAATTCGTCCGTTCAGGAATGGACAGAATTTCAACCATTTATAAAAGTCCAAACGTTTTAAAAAGTGGATTCAAATATAAGCTACATTATTTCCAGATGAACAGAGAAACTTAAACAACTGCCAGAGTCAAGGAGGGAAACACTCTCCGTTCAGCCCCTTCTTCATTCCCATTTGGAAAGAGCATCGGCTGCTCCCTCTACTCACGTCTCTGTGTCTTTTCATGAAGCCAGGAGGGTGCTGAAGTCAAGTGACCATCACACAAGTCCCACAAGCCAAGGCAATGGTCCCTCGAGACAGGGTCCTTTCACAATTAGAGAAGAAGACTAGCACCATATGCTCTATTTCAACACCTCACAATGTGCTTCTGACAGTACACAAACTTACTCTTAGCTGACTCTCTGTTTTGGCAAAACAAATCTTAGTTCGGTGCTTAACATCCGTGTTCCCAAGCCATGATTTACCACCCAAAGTAAACGACACAATAAAAACAGAATATAATCAAAGCAAAAAAAAAAAAAAAAAAGAGCCATAATAGCACAATCTAAAAGACTTTAAAACAACATTTAGTGTGTTCACAGAGATGAAGGAATACAATTTACAAATCAGCAGAACATTAGGGAGAAAAAAAAGAACAGGGAGATCTGAAACAAAGTCAGGGGTGCCTGACTGGCTCAGCCAGTAGAGCATGTGACTCTTGATCTCAGGGTCATGAGTTCAAGCCCCAGAGTGGGTGTAGAGATTGCTTTTAAAAAAGTCAGTAGGTGCACCTGGGTCAGTCATTGAGCGTCTGCCTTCAACTCAGGTCGTGATCCCAGGGTTCTGGGATCGAGCCCCACATCGGGCTCCCTCCTTGGCGGGAAGCCCGCTTCTCCCTCCCACTCCCTCTGCTTGTATTCCCTCTCTCACGGTCTCTCTCTCTCAGATAAATAAAATCTTTTAAAAATAAATTAATTAAAAGTCAGTAAATTAAAAAATAGAATCACTGAACTAAAACAACAACAACAGATAGCTGGACAGTACTTCAGACCCACCCGGGAGGGAATGAATGACTTGGAAATCACCCAGAATGCAGAATGGTAAAGAGAAAAATATTAAAGAGAGGTAAGAAAACATGAAAGGCAGAATGTACCAACATGTCTAATAGGAGTTTCAAACAAAAAAAAGAGAGAAATTGGACAGAACGGGAGAGAGGAAATGCCTGAAGAGATAACGTCTGAGAATTATTCTGAAGTAAAGACAACAATGAGTTCTCAGATGAAAACCACATTAAATCCCAAGGAGAATTAATCAAAACATATCTACCATGGTAAAATGACCAGGCCTCAAGAATAAAGAGAAGATTTAAGTTACCAAAAAGAAAAGATCATTAGTCACTGAAGAACTATAATCAGATTATCAGGATTTTTTTTTAAGTTTATTTATTTCCTTATTTATTTTTTAGTGATCTCTACACCCAACATGGGGCTTGAACTAATGACCTCGAGATCACGAGTCACTCGCTCTTCTGAATGAACCACCCAGGCGCTCCCAGCAGAATTCTTAACAGCAGTAGCAGAAAAAGAAGATAAACACTATTTTCAAAGGTTTGAGGGGGGTAAAATAATTGTCAGTCTAGAATTTTATACCCGGCTAACCTACCAGTCAAGACAGGGAAAGAGAGAGAGGGAGATGAAGAATCATACTCACTGAAAAAACTCTTAAAAGCTATACTTCAGGAAAAGGGAAAATGAACCCAGAGAGGAAATATGAAAAAAACAAACCCACATGATAAGGATCTTTCCCACGTGTGGGAAATAATGAGTAAGCAAACAAAATAATATCAGGTTGTAAAAACTGCTTTGATGAAAGCAAGGTGATATATCAGAGTAACCTGGAACGGAAGGGACCCTACTTTGGACAGGGCAAGGTTTCTTTCTTAACAGCTGCACAACTGGCACTGTAGGCCAGTTAATTCTTGGTTATGAGGAACGGTCCTGTGCATTGTGGGATGTAGACTAGCATCTTTGGCCTCTACCTACTAGATGACTGTAGCATCCTCCCAGGTGTAACACCTGAAATTGTTTCTAGACATTGCCAAAGACCCTTAAGGAACAGAACTGCAACTGCCCCCACCCAGTTGAGAACTACTAGAATGGGGTGTTGCCCACCGCCCCAGTTGAAAACTACCAGAATGCAGTGTTCAGGGTGAGTCTCTCTGAGGAGGTGACATTTGAGCCAAGACCAGAAGGAAAGCATTAGCTAGCCTAATGCTGCAGAAAGTTCACTGCAAGGAGCTGGGACAGCAAGTACCACGGCTTTAAGTCAGAAAGAGATCTTGCATGTCTGTGAAACCAAAACGAGCCCAGTGTGGCTGAAGTACAGAGCGGGGGAAGAAAAGGATGAGAAATAAAGTGGGAGCGGAGGAGGAGAATAGGCAACGATTAGGTCACACAGTTTTGTAGGCCACGAAGGGAATTTGAACTTACTCTAAAAGCAATGAAATTATCTGGTTTAATATATTCAAACGGTTACTCTGGCTTCTGTGTGGAGTAGAAAACTTTGTAGGAGGGCAGGAGAGGAAGCAGGAAGGCCCAGGAGGGAATTGCTTCAGAAGTCCAGAGGGTGGCGACGTGGAGGGAGGTAAGCAGGTGCAAGAGCCACTTAACATAAGTTAAATCAGAATGCGTAAAAAGCCGTAGCATCCACCCAACAGCTGATGAGAGTGTTATTACTGCAAAAACTGCCTCTGCACTGACAGGTGATACAGGGCCTCCGAGGAAGAGCGGACTTGTTTTTCAGCTTTACTCTATTCCTTAGAGGCGATATCATCTCCTTACAGCGTGGGGTAAGAGAGTTACCTCTCTGGGCCCCAAAGGTGGAGATAACATCCCCTGCGTCGAGGGCCATGTGTATACGTATCTAAAACCATACAGGGCCTGACACATCGGGGCTCACATCAGAGGTCAGAACGTTAGTTCCCTTCGCAGCGCAGCCCTCCCTCTGAAGCTGCCCTCGGGGTGGCTGCAATACCCCGGCTGCAGATTCTGCTTCCCGACCCCCGCCCAGCCACCCGAGAGGGCCCAAGCCTCCCGCGGGCGCACCAGCTGAGAAGCCGCGCCGAACACTTGGGAAAGTTACCGAAACGAGGGCCTCCGTTTCCCAACCTGCACGCGAGACGAAGTTTCTAGAGGCCGAGCTCGTGCCAGGTCCCTGGCGGGATCTCAATGACGCGGGGGCTATAAGCCCACCGTCCGCCTGCGCTCCCACCAGGCCCACTGCGGCCCTCGGGGCCCCGCTTCTCGGCCATCTCCTTGTTCCGCGATCTGGAGAAAGCCGGGAGTCTCACCCCTGTCGAAGTCCATCTCGTCCAGCGTTTGCTGCACGCCGGACGCCGCACCCGTCCAGGAGCAGCAAGAGCCGTCCGCGCAGGGCCGCGGCGCCGCCATGTCGGCCCCGGAGCCCCCTCCGCCCCGGCTGTTGTGCGCACGCGCGACCGCGACGGGTGGGTGGGGCGAGGCGGGGCGGACGCAGCAGCGCCAGTAGCTCGGGAACCAATCGAGGCGGCGGGGCGGGGCTTGCGGCGCTGCCCCGCGCTCCGAGGAGGCCGCGCGAGGGCGTCCCAGGCTAAGCAGAGTGCCGAGGGCACCGCGCAGGATGCCCAGACCCCGACTGCAGGCGGATGGCTCCCGGGCCGGCGGCCTTGTAGGGCGTGTGGAGCCCTGTAGGGTGTGGGGACGCAGCGGGCGGCTCGGCCGCCCGCCAGAGCCCAGCCCTCCAAGGTTCCCTGCGTCCCACCGGTTTCCCTAGGGCAGGGAGTCGCCGGGCGCGCCCCAAGGTCCTCCGCCCCGTCTTTCCGCACCACCCCAGGCCCAGTGACCTCGCTTCCCCTTTCCACCGCCCGTGCCTCCTGCCCATTTCCTGAAAACCCGTGGGAGGCAGGTGGCCACAGCTTTTGCCACTGGGAGCACATAAGCCCCAAGGGCAAGTACAAGGGCCGTGGGTTGTGCGGAACTCGCCAACTCCAGTGGGAGCCTACTTTACCGTACCTATCTTCATATAGCAAGACATCTTAGGGCCTGAGGTTTACTGACCATGATGGAAGCTTAGTGTACCCAGAAGTCAGCAGATCACAGCCCTTTCCTACAGCTAAGGACACCCAGGGCAGCAGCCCCTTTCGGCCACTGCAGGCCCTCCGGACCAGTCAAATGTAGGGAGGCCATTTCACAACTGCCTCCATCTGTGGACATGAATCCAGGCTGGGTCTTCCCTTCCTTACAAGTATCTGGGCCCTCCCTGTGCCCACTCCTCCCATAGGACAGTGGCTTGGTGCACCCTGGGTGGTGGTGGGGCAAGTTCCATGTTCTACATCGCTGAAGCATTCGAGGCGAATATTCCTGGAGGGTAGGCAGAAGGCTGGAAGTAACCTTTCCTCCTCTAGGCTAGTTGAGAACATCCTCACAACAAGCCAGTACATACAACCTGAAGCTCTTTCTAATACGTTCCCCTCCTTTACCCCTCACTCCCACTTCCCTTCCCAGAGCTCTGGGAAGCCAGGCCCCTCCTCTCCGGCCTTGCTCCCAATGCCCTAACTTCTCCTTTTGGCCAGAAGCCAAAGCTGCCAGCTGCCTCCCAAGAGCCTGTGGCCCTGGTCTGCTTCCAGCCCCACAGCTACCACTGTGGGGAAACACTGGAGCCTGGGCTATCCCCCCTCTGGAGAGGGGCACAAGCAGGCAGGGATAACATTAGGGGCAGCTGCCCCAGAACTACGGGGAGGCGAGGCTAGTCCTGCCCAGAAGGTTTTAGCCCAAGTGCCTTATCCCTACCACAGTAACACTTAGCTGTTTTCTTGATTTTTATTTGTCAATATAAAAATACTCAAATATTTACAACAAATAAATACGCGGGGACACAATAAGTTACACTGTTAGGAGCCCTCCTCCTAGGGCTGGGAGAGGATATGCAATATCCACAACATGCCCACCCTCTCTCCTCCTCCCTCCCCCACCCCCCAACACAACCTTTCCCAGCCCAGTAAGGGAGGACAAGTATAAAATACCACTGAACCCCAGGGCCAAGTGGGAGGCCCCTCCCACCCTTGCCCCAAACACACAGGAGAATCCATCTCCCTCCCCCCACCCTGAAAACATTCACAGCCCTAGGAGCAGGACCAGGCCCACCCCAGAGCCCCGGACTCCCCAAAAGGGGCACAGCACCCTGCCCAGCCCACCCCCATATGTACATTGCTGACCCACGCTGGGGACTGGGTGGGGGTAGGAGAGGCAAAGTGATACGACCCCTTCCCCTTCATAGCTCCAATGACTCACCAGGAGGACCCCAGGCCAAAGGAAGACTCGGACAGAAAAAGGAAGACCTCTCTCTCTCTCACACACACACACACACACACACACAAAGACTAGGTCACACACACGTGCACACACAGACGTATAGATACAAACACACCCACATCTCCAACTTCTGCCTTGGGAAGTTTTGGCTGCTGGGGTCCCACGTGTCCGTGATTCACAGCCCCTCACAGAGAGGAGGAAGAGGCCTTCCGGGAGGCTGGTGCCCTGGGGAGCAGTGCCCGTGCTGAGCAGAGCAGGTCCTCATGGCCGGGCGGGTGCCGGCCAGGCTCTGTCCCAGGCCGAGCCGGTGCCCGCGCCATGTCCCTGAGGTAGCTGGTGCGTGTGCAAAAGGAGGAGCGGCGCCTCGCACCCTGCCCCTGTGAGGCGGGGGGTGGGGTGGGGGGTGGGGATCCCCTCATACGGAGGACTCCTCGGGATTGGAGTCCGGCAGCTGCTGGCGCTGCTGCAGCTTGCGCCTCAGCTCGTCTGCCAGCTCGGGCAGCGGGTGCCCGAGCCCGCCGCGGTCCTCCGCTCCCAGCTGTAAGCGCACGTAGCCATTGGCGTTTGAGTTCCGCCCACCCCCCAGGTGAAGCCGGGTCGGAGAAGGCAGGGGCTGGCCGGGGATGCCAGGAGCTGGGGAAGGGGGCCCGCCCCCGGGCTGGCACCGCGCGTGTCCAGGCACGATCTTGAGGGAGCCGTCCGAGTAGTAGTAGCCGACGGGATCCCAGAGTTTCTCATCAGTCTCCGGGCCGGGCCTGAAGGGGGGACTGGTGGGCTCCTTGGGCAGCTCCAGGGGGTACACCAGGGTCCTCTCCGCCGCCTTGGCACCTTTCTCCAGCTCCTCCCGCAGCCGCCGGCGCAGCGACAGAACCAGCAGCAGCAGGACCAGGCACACGGCCCCCAGGGCCACCACAGCCAGCCACACCAGCCCCAGGTTTTCCAAGGGCGCCCGAGCCTCCAGGGTCACCGACGGGCCCGCCACCACGGCCACCAGGTAGCCTTCGGCAGCCAGCCGTGCCCCCTGCTCCTCCGAAAAGCAGTGGTAGGCCCCGGCGTGGCGGGGCTGGGCAGCCATCACGACCAGGGCCTGCAGGCGGGCGTCATAGAGGAAGGAGCCGGGCTGTTCCGCAGGCAGGTCCCGGCCCCCGAAGGTCCAGCGGGCGTGGGCCAAGTTGGAAGAGAGGCGGCAGGGCAGCACCAGGTCCGTGCCCGCCACCACGGTGATGTTTTTGGGTGTGAGCCTGACTGCAGCAGCAGAAAAACAGGAGAGCCGAGTTAGCACGGGAAACCCAGGGCCACGCGGAGCTGCGGCTAGTCCAGCTCTGGCCCAGGGCCCATCCTACCAGGGAAGAGGGAGAAAAAAAAAAGACAGCTCACCCTTTTTATTGCCACGGAGGTTACAAATGCCTGAGGTGTCGGAGACCGTCACGTGCTGGATCAGCGAGGACCTGGTTGGGGAAGCAGGGTCCATGGGCACTGGGGCTCCAAACACCCTGCCCCTCACCCTTGTGCTGAGCCCCACTCACCCGAAGGGGCCATCCACGGCCACACAGCGGCTGGTGTTGACGCTCCAGGCACAGTAGGGGTCCCGAGCGAGGACGCAGTCTGCGCAGGAGCGGTACTTCACGCAGTCGGCCAGGGGCAGCTGAACCAGCTGAGAGCGGGAGCCTGCGAAGAGAAGCTTCTGCAAGAGAAGCGGAGCAGAGGAGGCTCAGCCAGACTGGGACACAGACTGCGGCATGGGCGCAGGAGGGCAAGGGTGCCAGAGGAGGAAGAAGGCGGTGCTAAACTCCCAGGAGGGGAACGGAAGGACCAAAGAACGCCCAGAGGGCTTACGACAAGCCAGACACAATCCTAAGCACCTTCAAGATGTGACCTTCTTAGACAGGGAACAGTGGAACTACGGGGCTGAGAAATATAATCTCTCTCTCTCTCACACACACACACGCACACGCACACGCACACATTCTCCCGTACTGTATAAATAGTGCAGGAAATGTGTGTTCCGCTAGGCCCGGCAGCCCTCACAATAGCACAAGCAAAGCATAAGGTGTTTTCCTCTGTCTGAATGGTGACTGCCATTCCGTGTGTTTCTTCAACCACGGACTTTCTTTCTGCCATTATTCCATGTTCTGGGCAACAATCTGAGCCACAATAGTTGGTCAAGGGCCAGCACATGAAAGTTCAGGGGAGTCACAGACAGGCCAGAAGAAGGGTAGGGTGCAAGCGGCACCTCAGGCAAACAGCGAAGGGAGTGCAGGGCCGGGACTGGGCTGGGCTGGGCTGGACCAGGGGGCCGGTGGGAAAGCCGGCATCAGGAGGGCAGCTGAGCAGAGATGTGGCCCGAGAGGGCCGGTCCACAATGGCACCACCGGAGAGGCTGTACGTCACAGAGGCACAGCACGACCTCGAGGGGTCTGAAGGAAGCGTGGAGAGCAGCTGCCAAGGCCCAGTTCTGGGAACACAGCCCCGTGGGGACCTGGCTATATATAACGCCTGCGGAGCGCAGAGTCCGTTAGCACGCTTGTTTCCTGGAACTCTCCCCAAGCTAAGCGAGGTATGTTCGAGTGCCTCCCCACCCGTCCTGGCCAAGCAAAAGACTGCGGAAGGTGTAGGGACAGCCGTGGGTGGGGCCTGATTACTACCTTGCTCCGGGATAGGACCAAGCTTTCCACAGGCTCCTGGTCAAACACCTGCAGCTCCTCGATCAGGTGGACCCAGGGGCCCAGGTTCACGGCCTTGAGCAGCCAGCCGTCTCCTGTGGGGGTTGGGGGAGGACAGGCATAAACGAGAGGGCACGGGGGCCCCTGGGGCATCTCTAGACCTCACTGCCCCGGACACACAGGCCCTGCCGCCCCCACCCTGTTCTTCCCTGTGGAAATCCTGCGCAGCCTCCAGGCCCATCCTAGCAAAGTGGGCACGCTGCTTTCCCTCAGGCAGCTTCCGGCAGCCACACCCGCCTCCCCAGGTGCCTACCTGTACCAATGAACAGCACTGTATAGGTGGCTCCGTCAAGCCCCGTGACCCTGTCAGCCACCAGGTGGGTGAAGTTGGTGTCCTTCTTCACAAGCAGGGGCCGGCCCCACCGCGGCCCTACCTGCTCCTCCATCAGTGGGTGCTTCTTGATGAAGTTGAGGGTGTTATCAGGCAGCTCCAGAGAACTGGTGTAGCCATGGCGTCGGTGCCAGTTGTTGATGCACTGGGGGCGGGAGGGGGGAAGACGGGAGAGCTGTCAGCATGTGGGAGAGCTACTGTAGCGGAGGGCAGGAGCCCATCCCCGCCCCGGAGGACTCACTGAGCCGGGCCGTGGGCTGGGTACGGGGTCGGTATAGCGGCCCCACTTCTGGGCTTGCTCACGGTACTCCTTGTAGGGACCCTCGAATACCCTCTGGATCTCTTCCAGCTGGTACTCGCAGACCGCTGACAAGTCCACATCGCCCCTGTCACAGCAAAGGAGGGACCCCAAGGGTGAGGCACGGCACTCACTTTACCCCAGCTCGTGGCATGGACCGGGAAGGCGGGGCCCCCCACAAAGCAGTCCTGGGCGTGTGTGACGTCATGTCGGCTCTAAAGTACCACTGGGGGAAGGGTCCTGCACACCTCCCCTGAGGGGGCTTTGAAAAGGGGCAGATGCCCAACATCCTCCTCGGCTTCTGGTCTACCGACCACCTAAGACTTTACTCAAGACACCTGCACCCACCAACCATCCCTACCCCGCAAACCTCCTCCTCCCAACCCCCAAGTATTCCTGGCCAACTCACCACCGCGCCCGGAAAACCCCGAAGAAGGTGGTGTTGTGCCAAGAGGTGTCACGCAGTGTGTGCAGGGCCTGCAGCTGGTTGAAGTAGAGCTGCCGGTCAGGGGCCGAGCACACCAGCCTTGCCTTCAGGAATGTGGTCCACTTCCTCTGCAGGGTCCGCGCACCCCCCATGTCCCCCTGGCGGATGGCAAGGGGACACTGCCAGTCAGGCCTGCCGAGCCACCAGGGCTCCCAGAGCTCCTCACTCACTGCAGGACTCCATACCTTGCAGACACGGGCTACACGAGCCACCACCTGTTCCGCGTAGCAGTCATACTCCACTGCCCGCTCACTGAAGAAGAAGTAGACCTTGTCATCGTCCCCCGTGAAGCTGCCCACGCTCTCTGGGATGTAGGCAGAGCCTACAAAATGAGGTTCTACAGGAAGGGGAGGAGGGTTAGCAGCGGGGGGGGGGGGGGGGGGGGGTTTGCTGCGGGGCCCCTCACCCATGGCTCCCCCACCCCAGGGCCCCACACCAGCTCCTCGGGGCTCACCATTGAGCCAGAAGGCCAGGTACTCTGTCTTCATGGAGTGGTGAGGCCCCATGTTACGCAGGATTACAGGCTCTGTTCCTAGGAAGTTGTTGAGCGTGGCCGAGTACAGCTCACCGTCTGTAGGGGACAGGATCAGGCAGGCCAGAAGTGACATGAAGACACATTCAGGCCACGCAGAACCATAGTGAGAACAAATTCTAGGGGCGGACTCCCCCAGCCTACCGCGGGGACAGCCACTCACCCACAAGGAGGCCAGTGTGGCCCTTGGCCGGGTCATAGGGACATTTCCCCTTCCCATCCTCAAATTCTCCACGCTCCAAAGTGAAGGTGAGCATGTCCTAGGGGCAAGGAAGAGACAATGAGGAGGAGATGCAGAAGGGCCTGGGAGTCCAGAGAAGGGCGAGGAGGGGGACTGAGGAAGGAAACCAGCACTCACGATGTAGGTGCACTTGGGCTGGAAGGCGTAGGTACCACAGACGTACAGGTGGGAGGCGTTGTAGGGCTGCAGGAAGCGGATGAAGTTGAAACACTCCGTCTGGGGAGAGAACGGCATTCACTTAAGAGTACGGGGCCATGGGACACGGGACACAAGGACCAAGAACGGGTCTGGGACAAAGAGAGAGGGTGCGGGTGGGGGGAGACAGCAGGTGCCGTGAGGCCTGGCCAGCGGAAGTACGGGGGCGGGGGGCGGGCCTCTGGCTCTCCTGGCCGTATCCTGAGCACCCACCTGGTTGCTCTTCCCTTTCTGGATACACTCGGCTTTCTTCTCAGCTGGTGCCTCAGGTGAGGGGGGGGGGGGGGGGGGGGGCGGAGGGGGGCATGTCAACATCACAAGTACACACTGAGCATGTGCCCGGAGTATCTGCCACATGCATGGCCTGTGGCAGCCACATGAGGACACCACAAGCAAGCATACACAGTTCCCATTCTCTGGGAGTTTATTTTAACAGAGGATGGAAGCCGCAAACTGCCCCAAAGCTGCAGATGAGGGAAAGCAGCGTGCCCACTTTGCTACAAGGATAGGCCTGGAGGCTGCGCAGGATTTCCACAGGGAAGAACAGGGTGGGGGCGGCAGGGCTGAGGGGGCAGTTTGGTCAAGCTAAGCCCCTCTGGGTCCTGCCGCTCTCCCCACACCTGTGTGCCTCCCACTCCCCCACCTCTCACCGCTCCTTGCAGCTCCAGAGCCTCCACGCTGAAGGCAAACAGGGCTTCCCGGGCCCCCACGTAAAGAAGCCCCGTCTGCTCAGTCAGGGTCAACGTCAGGAAGTCCTGGATGCCCGTCTGGGAGAACCGCCGCACCACTGTGGCCAACTCTGCAGGGACAAGGTGGGAGTGAGCAGGGTGGTGAATGGGCAGAGGGCTTCCTGGGGCTCCAGGCATCCTCCTCCTCCCAAGAATCAGCCTTCCTCTATACAGTGGTCTTCGGGGCCTAATCACCCCTGCTGCCGGCCAGCACCCCACAAGCAGATGCCAGCTAAGCACTCTGACTGGCAATAAAGGGCCTTCTCCAATAGCATTTTGGCTCTGACAGCTCCACCCAAGCCTCCCTGGCCTTTCCCAGCCTGGGAGGCGGCAAATCTGGGCTGGTGAGGAGGAAGGAAGGATATCTCAGCCACAGCTTCCGGCCAGAGGAAGCCATCAGACTGATGGCCCTCACTCTCAGGGTCAGCAGCACCTCTGGCTGCAGAGCTGGGCTCTTCCCCCTCCCAGCTTCCTCCGCTGCTTCCTTCTTTGTTGCCTGCTACCTACATCACGCTCCGGCCAGGCGCCAGCCCGTGATCGGGCAAAGCAGTTATGTACTGAAGTTGTAAGCACTGCTTGCCTGAGTTAACTCTTCACTCCAGCAGGACCCAAATCCAGGCGGCCAGAGGTCCAATCACGGCCGGCCACTGGGACAGGCGGGGATGTGGGAGACAGAGTTGGGGCTGGGAGGCCAGGCCAGGCCAGGGTGGTCAGGGGGAACCAGAGGCTAGGCACCAGAGAAGGCACTGAAGCCTCGGAGCTGGGAAGCTTTGTTGCTGTTCACCATGCAAGGTATGACGACACCGATATAGTCACAGGATTCCTAAGTCAGCCCCCAAAATAGCTGCTGACTTGTCCTCAGGGTCCCCCTAAACCAGCCTTAGTCTTTGGAGCCAGACACAGGCGGGCAAGGGAGGGCTTCATTAGCACCCGAGTGGAGCCTGTGGGAGGTGAGCTCATCCTAGGTCCCCAGGGTGCACTGATGATACAAACACCTGACATCACCTCTTAATACAGGTGTGTGCGTGCAGAGGGCTGTCGGGTCTGCTGTCCCCCGACATGAGCACGTGTGTAAACACATCCAGGGCCAACACAAGGCACAAGGGTAACAGAGGAGTAGCAGAGAGGCTCTATTACGGTTGATAAAGGGGCTCCTGGGGGCAAAGAGAGAGCTAGAAAGGCTTTGGGTAGAGGGGTGATAACACTCTGCCTTATGCCTACCCGGGCTCCATTTTCTCTCTGTGGGCTCTCAGTGCAAGTGCTAGTTCCAGAAGTAAGGCATGGGGAGAACAATACAGAACGGTCTCTCTTCCTTACGTTATGGGGGCAGCCAGGTCCTAACCATCTGAAGAAGGGCTATCCCAAGACTATGAGCTCTGGGTTCCTGGGGCCACTCTAGGGCCACTCATTCTCATTTCTTAGAAAGCTGTCATACACATCGGTGGGCTTTGAGCCCAAGAGCAGGATAAAGCTGGCACAATCTAGGGGCAATCGCTCTTCTCCCCCCCTCTCTCCATAGTCCCTCCTGGCCTCCCCCCTTGGGACTTGAGGCACTCACCCCCAGAAGATACGGTCTTCCGGGGCACCAGGTTCCACCACATCTCAGCCCCAATGCCCAGGCCCCACAGCCCCACTACCAGCAGCCAGACAGCCCAGTGTGGGGCCATGGCAAATGCCCCGGCTCGAAGCTCCAGGCCAGCTGCCCTGCTGGGGGAAAAGAAAGGGTCAGAATCACAGCTAGAGAAAACAGACCGGAAGGGGGCCCACACAAGCCCGTGTCAGGAGGCACTGACAGGACATATGACCTGATCAGCCTCCCCAGGAGCCTCCTGGATACCCCCCCCACCCCGGCCCTTACCCAGTCCTTGGAGCAGAACTTGGTGTCCCCCCCCCAACACACACACACCTGGCCTCAGCCCGCACAGATTCCAAAGGAGGTGGGGACCCCAGAGGAGAGGGGAGGAGCTGAGTCAGCTGGAGGGGTGGACACTCCAAGAAACATTCTCTGGCCTCCAGGCCCTCACCCACTCCCTCTGAACAGGAAGTTGTTTAAGAAATTAAAAGGGGACTCCTTCCCCCCACACTCAGGCCTGACAGATTTGAGGATTTCTTAAAATAACCTCTGGGAGCAGCACCTGCCCCCACTGGGGCTCCAGCCAGCCCCAAGACATACTTCTGGCACGCAAACCCCTTGGCAGGGTGAAGGGGCATACGGTGGGTGGGCGTTTCCAGAAGCCCCTCCACCCCCCCCCAGGGGACTTGATGGAGCCAGCCTTGCGGGGGTCCTGGCCCCAGGCTCTCCCCTCCCCCAGCGCAGACAATAGCCAGGCAAAGCCCCAAACCCCGGTTCCACATCAGCAGGGCTGAAGTGGGGCCGGAGCCGAAGGGGCCCAGCTTTCCCGAGGCCCCTTTGTTGCCCAAGACTGGAGGCAGGAAGTGGGTGGGATGGGCGTGGAAATGACCAGGGCCTCATCCTGTTCCTCGCACAGCCTCCTAGGAGACACTAGCCTTCGGGCTTTGGGGCGGCGGGACAACAGAGCTGGCTCCGGTCTAATCAGGGATCTCCCGGCGAGAAGCTCTCAGGCGGGGGCGGGGGGAGCTGAGGAGCGGGTGGGGAACGCGAGAGGGGTTCCTCTCGGATCGCGGGGGACGCCCTGTGCAGGGCCGGCGCCTGCTGCGCTCCCCCCGGGTCTGACGAATCTTCCCAACTCAGGGATTGCGCCCCGGGACCCCGGCCTGGGCAAGCCATCTGGATTAACTGCACTGCCCCAGCCCTCCAGTGCCGGGTACGGAGACACAGAAGCTGGGGACCTGCTCACCCCAAAACAAAGGGTCCCCGCCAAGACCTCGTCCTTGGTCACCCCCCCAGATTCTCCCCTCCCCCCAGCTCCCGGGATTTGAATGCAAACAAAGCGGCGGCGCTGGGAGCGTGGCGAGCCCGGCCGGCGGACGCCCCCTGTCGGCCCAGTACCCCAGTACTGGAAGGGCGGGGGGGGCGCTGGGGATACGTCCACCCCTCCCTCCCCTCCAACACACCCCCAGCCCTCCCTCTGCCCCTTACCCTAGACCCGGGCCGGACCCCGCGGCGCGCTCCGAGAATCGGCCAGCACGGCGATGCCCCCACCCCCAGCTCCTCCCAGGGCGGGGAAGCAGGGGCAGCCGGAGGGGTGGGGGCTGGAGGACTGCGGGGCCCAGGCGGTGCGCCCCCCACCCTCGCCCACCGCGAGCGGCGGGGCGCGAACGGCGCTTCCGCGGCTGCAGGGCGGGCGCTCCCGCCAGGGACTGCGCGGCCAGGCTCGCGTCGGGAGCCTGGCTTTCCAGGACAACCCGCCTCCCCGGCGGAGCGGGCGGGCAGGGGGCCGCGGCAGGGAAATCCGATCCCACAACATCGGCCTCAGTCCAAGCCCGCCCCAAACTTTCCGTCGGGGGTGGGGGAACCGGGGACAGTTCGGGGGCCTGGAGAGGATCCTGGCCGCCGACCCAACAGCACGGGGGACCCCCGCTCCCCTCAGCCGCGCTCTTCCAGACCAGTCCGCGCCTCCGGACGCTATGGCTGCGGGCACTGCTTGCCCGGCTCAGGAGCCCCCGCCAGGCAGCCCGCGGGGGGCGCAGGAAGGATTTCGGACGAACTGCTGTCCCCGCCGCTAGCCCTCCCCGCACCCCCAGACCCTGTCCCTCGAGCGTGCGGCGGCCCCTGCCCGAGTCGGGGGACAAAGCGGCGGCCCCGGAGCCCTGGTGCTCCCGCCCCGCGCAACCCTGGCCTCACTCACCTCTTCTTCGCGGCTTGAATCCCTGGGCGCCGCCCTCGCGTTCGGCTCGGATCACGGTCCGCCCCTACCCGCGCGCCGCCGACGGCCTGCGCGCGCCCGCCCGCCCTCCTCCGCTGTCCCCTCTGCCACCGCCCCTCGGTCCCGGCTCGGCTCGGCTCGGCGCCCCTGGGCTCGGGCTCCCCGCGCCACCGCGCCGGGTGCCGGCTCTTTCTCCAGCGCTGCCGCCGCTCTCCGCCCCCTCCCCCCTGACGTCAGGCGGGGGGGGGGGTTGAGCGGAGGCCGGGGGCGGGACGCGAAGGCCGGCCCAGGAGGGGGCTGCGACCCGCCGCGACCCGCCGGCCCCCCAGCTCCCCGCCGGCGGGCTGGGACCCTCGCCCCTCCCCGCGCCCTGCCGCCCCGTGCCTCGGAGTCGCGGTCTGCGCCACAGCGCCGGGAGGTGGGGCGGGGGAGGGACTCCGGGCATTGCCTTGGTTGGGGGGGATCGGACTCACCCGGTCTTTCCGAAGTGTCCCCCAAGGCCAACCGCGGGCTGGGCGGCTGGGCTCGGGAATGGGGTTGAGGAGCTCCCCACGTTGCAGTTACTGGAACCAACGCGGGCAAACCACCTCGGGGCGAGTATCCGAGGGAGGGGTGCCGGGGAAATCGAGGCTCCTTTTCGGGGCGGATCAGAGTGGGTCTGTCTTTTGGCCCGAAATTCTGCTTCGTTTCTTGGCCCCAACGCCCACTGTCGTCCCCCCCCCCCACCGCAGTCAGACTGGAACGGGTCTTACCAACCAGGAAGACCCACTAATCTCCGGAGAGTCTGCTCCTTGTTTTTCATGCTCCACACGGAGGGACAGCAGCGCCCTTGCCCAGCTCCCGGTGAAGACAACCCTCTGGGAGACTCCTGTTGCACAGAGCCTGCCCCCAAAAAATGACTCCTTCTGATGCCACTGGAAGGCTGAATAACAAGTGACATGAGCCCTAACGTTCAGATGAAAGCGGCTGAGGGGAAGCCTCGGTGGAGAACTACCACCTTTTAGAACAGCCTGCCTCCGCCCACAGCAGCTCCTAGAAGTCACTTGTAGCTCTGGCCTCCTGCGCTGGGGCAGTGCTGGGGTGGACCTTGCCAGCTGGTCCTCGGAGCTGGGCAGGTGGACAAACCCCAGGGAAGCCGCCCCATCGGCACCCAGACACAGATGCCTCCTCTTGGCTAGGGGCAAATGACAGAGGTAAAGAGACTGGAGCCTGGAGGCTTTGGTGGTAACTTTAAACGGGCGCAGTCCTGGAGGGGAGGAACAGTGGAGGGCCCCCGTCAGCAGATCTGGATTATAAATCAGTCCCGACAGGAGCTTTTGTTCTGAGTTAAAACTTGGCATCTGAAAATGGAGACCAGAAGAGTAGTGGAGATAATTGGGAAAAGCAGTACAGTTTGGATTCAGTAACAATTGGGTCTTTGCTGGTACACATAAAGGCCCCTTCTCCCGCACTGGCCAAAGCCACATTTCCCAGCTCCTTTCCACCAGAGGCGGGGGGGGGGGGGGGGGAAGCTGTGGTCTTGGAAATGCTGGAGATAAGAGGGCAAGCCAGTTAACAATTAGCATGGGGTAGGCAGGAAAGGCTCTGTGCTTCAGCAGGCTGGGAGGGAGATGGGTGTAACCCTCCTCCTCCAGGTTAGACCCTGCTGTCTTTTTCAGTGGAGGTAAACGGATGCTCAACATTTGTTCTGTGCTTTAGACTTTGCAACCTGCCTTCACATACATTTCCTCACTTAATCCTCATGACCACTGTTCAAAAGGCAGGTATGGGGCACCTGAGTGGCTCAGTGGGTTAAGCATCTGCCTTTGGTTCAGGTCATCCGGCGGCAAGCCTGCTTCTCCCTCTCCCTCTGAGGCTCCCTCTGCCTGTGCTCTCTCTGTCAAATAAATAAATAAAACCTTAAAAAAAAAAAAAGGGCAGGTATTGTGTCTCTGATTTTAGAGATAAAATGCGTCTCAGAAGGATGAAGCAACCTGCTCAAAGGCACGTAGGTAATTAGCAAGGTCGGAATGTTAAATCAGGTCTTGGGACTCCCAATTCTATCTTTGCACCAAGTCAGAGTGCACCTGGACAACCTTTAAGCCCTAAACAGCGTGTTTCCTGCTGTTTTTCCTCACCTCTGCTCCCACCCCCACCAGGCAGAGACTTGAGCTCCTGGCTCCACCTGCAAGATGGCCCCAGTGGAAAGTTTCAAAAGGTGGTTTGGTTTCACTGGCAGGGACAGTCTTCTGTATGTTATGGCAGCCTTCTCTGTTCCTGCTAACAGACTCCGGGAGCCCTTCCCTCTCAAATGCTCCTCCAAGATAAGGCTGCAGCTCCCCCACCCCCCTTTTCTACCTTCACTCATTTCCTGCTGTGTTCTGTCCATTTCCAGCACTGGCCTTTTCCATGGGTGGGTGGGCAGAGGATAAAGTTTCCTGCATGACTACTTGCTCATGATTCATACTTTTTAATAAAAGCACAACCGGTCAAAAATGAGGATTCCTGGGTTTTAAATTAAGAAAAAAAAAAAGAAGAAGAAGAAGAAGAAAAGTCTCCTGTACCTGTCATGTCTCTCTAGGGTCTGTCTGCCATATTCTATTTAAGGTACCCATGCTTCAGGCCTTAGGCCCTAACAGACCCTCCTGCTCACCTGCTTGTGGCCAAGTCAAGGAAAGACCCAGATAATGCTAAATGCCTTCTGAGGTTCTCCAAGAGTCCACTGGCAGCTCAGCTCAGGCCAGTCCCTACAGATGGGCCCAGGAGTCTTATCTGAAAGGCAAGCCCCCGCTCCCTCCCCCACGACATTGGTCATGTGCCATGGCGTCCCTGATTTGAGCTCCTCACCCCTAGTTCTTGCAAGGCAGCTTTCGGACCGGAGTGGAGCCCAGGGTTCACACTGGGATTCTCCAGTTAGCACTGCCTGGCCAACTTCCAAAGGATCCGGGAGCTGTTGTCAGCCCACAGAGGGGGAAATGAGAAAGCCTGGGTCAGCCATCCTTCAGGGATCTTTCTGAGGGCCTGGGGACCGAGGTGAGTGGGGACATAGGAAAAGGACTTCCTCTACTTCCTCCTAAAGGAGAGTTATCAAAGCTGTCCACCTGGGAAGCCTTTCCCTTCCCAGCCCCTCCCTGCCACCATCACCAAAAGGAAGCAGGAAAACATCCGTCATCACAGCCCCGGATGCTGCGTTTCCAGTGGCTTCAATCAGGATATCCCTCAGCCTTTTCCCAGGAGCTTAAGGATCTGGAAAGGGCAAGTGGTGAAGTTGCCAGCACCATTGTGGAATTCTTGGCCTAGAGGAGACTGAGTCTCTAACTGGTCCCAGACCAGTTGGAGAAGATCTGGTCAGCCAGCTCCCAGCCAGTTCCAGAGAGGGCCCATTACATGTCCCAGGGGATATGGGACGCCCTTAGCTGACCTCGAAGCGCACCCCTCTGCTCAGGTTACAGCTAGGTCTCTGGAGGGACTGAGTATTCACCAACACCTCCTTTCTCCTTGGTATCTATTTCCCTCTTGGTGATGAGTGTGTTTGGGGAACAGGGGAGGAGGGGTCAGTGCACAAGGACCAGGACTGGGGAGACGGGCCCCAGACATCTATGGCGACAGACCGCATGGATCTCTTTCTCAGAGCCACGAAGGGGCAGCTTCAAGAACTGGAAACTCCCCAGCTCAGCCTCTTAGGCCTCCCTACTCCCTCTCTGCCCTTGGCAGTGAGAACAAAGAGGGGAAATTTCAAAGGTGATTTCCAGGTTTCCAGAGCAAACTGAAGAGCTGAGGATTAACTGTCAGGATGTGCAGTGTCAAAAGCAGGGGCTGCCCGGAGGGAGGTGAAGGAGGCTGGCTCACCAGAGCCTTCGCTCTTTTATCAGACGATCTCAGGCCTACCTGATGCCACTGGGGCCTCAGTGGTGCCCCAGCCAGGGGGCCCTGTGATGTGGCCAGGAACAGAAACCAGAACTCTCGGTCAAGTCACCTGGGTATCCAAGTCACCCTGGCCAAGGACTTCTTCCACCTCTCACTTGGCAAAGGGAGCATGGCAGGGCAATGACACGTATGGCACCCAGCACTCTGCCGTGTGCTCATGCCCTCTGAATTATAGATGCCCCCAGCTCCCAGACTTCTGGGCGAGGGAGGCAGCTGTGTCTAAAACAGCCCCAGGGCGCACCTGGGTGGCTCAGTCAGTTAAGCGTCCAACTCTTGATCTCAGCTCGGGGCTTGATCTCAGGGTCATATGAGTTCAAGCCCTGCGTTGGGCTCCACGTTGGGTGTGGAGCCTACTTAAATAAAACAAAACAAACAAACAAACAAACAAATAAGACAGGCCCAGGAAGTGATGGGCTACTCTTCAGTTCTGCAAATGTAGCCACTTGTCCTGAAGGTGCTTTATTTGGGGGGGGGGAGTCTCTCTCCTAGTTAGCCTGCCTTACCCTACCCCTGTGGCATGAGAGCAAAGGAGAGGGGCACAGAAACACAGAAAGTCGTAAGCACCAGCCATGGTGAAGCTCCGTCGGCAGACGCTCGGCTTGAGTTGAGGAGAGGGCCCAGGCCAAGGGTGTAGGGGTCATTCTCTGCTACTTCCACCTCTTACAGCCCCTGTAAAACCCTCTTCCAACCCAGAGTTAGGAGAAGCCTGACGCTAAAATGGATTCTTGGGATTGGAGAAGTAGACAGAGAATGGGGATACCCAGGGATCTCCCCAGTGATGCACAGGGCCCACATGCTTCTCAAGGGGGGCAGGTCAAAGACACCCAGCACTTCATTAAGGATCAGGGCCCACCAAACCAATCTCGGGCAAGGTTGAGGGAAAGTATCCAGAACTGTCTTTTGGCACCCCACCCCACTTCTAAGTCTGGGGAGTTGATTTCAGAACTCAAGTGATAAACTGAATTAAGTGTAATTACAGCCCTGACCCACCAGCTCACTCTGTGGATCCTCCCCGGTGAGGGCAGTGAGTAGGAAGGGGGTGCGTAGTTCCAGACCGGGTCCAAACAAATGCTCGCTATCGGTACTCCCCGGTTTCTGACAGCTCTCAGGCCACAGGAATAACTGCTCCTCCCTCAGGATTTACACACAGCCTTCTGGGGCAGGGGGTGGGGCCTACGAGGCCCAGGTCACATGACTGTCCGAGGTGGGAACTCAGCCCAGCACCAGCAGAGATGTCAGGAACCTGGACGCTGGGCAGGCGCCCTCAGGATAGGCACTGAAGGAAATCTTCTAAACCCCCGATGCTGAAATAAGACTTTAGTGTGCACAAAGAAAGCTCGCATTAGTGCCAGAGAGGAAGGAGGGTTGGGAGGGCCCAGGAGGCCCCGGGAAAACGGAGAGTGGATACAAAGGCCTTGGGGCAGAGGAGACGACTCGGGGGACGGGAGGGAAGGAGGGCTGAGGGGCGGGCCAGGCAGGGAGACGAATCTGTTGCCCGGTGGGGCTCAGGGGGAGGCAGGCTCTTGCTTCATCACACCGGTCCTCCTCTGGCCTCTGTTCGTCACTCCCTCCTGTTCCTTGAAGCCCGTTTGCTTCCTGCCAGAGCCAAGAGCTGGGGACCAGCAGCCGTGCCCCGCTCCTTTAGTCTTTCCAGGGGCTGAAGTACTGGGCCTGGGGCAAGGAGAAAAACAGGGCGATGGCCCCAGGCCGGGTAGGGCCCACCGTCCTGACGGTGACTCTCCAGCGTCAACATCCACCACAGGCCTCCTCATGCCCGGTGCTGAGCTACAAGAGTCCTGTGGCTTCCCGTCCAGGAGAGGACACGGCAGGTCAACAGGCCACTTGAGCACAGCGCAGGAGTGCTCTGTCCGGGTTCCCTCTACTCACGACTCGAAGGCCCAGGGCAGTGTGACAGGAAGGTGGGGCCTGCCCCCTGACTTGGCCAGGCCACAGATCACTTTTCCTGACAAACACGCTGTTTCCCACCAGAGACTAGTGCGATCTAGTTCCTGGGGGACTGAGGGTGAGGTCTGCTCTCCAGCTTTCTCAGAGACTTGCGAAATCTGAGACCCAAGCCACAGCCTGTGGCCAATGTGTCAGCCCCAAGTCAGAGGTTACAGGAGGAAGGACGAGCAGAGACAAGGCCAAGGATAGACACGTTGGGAGCCAAGGGGCATTGGGAGGATGAGAGGAGAAATGCTCACCAGACCCAGCCTGTGTCCATCAAGGGTTCGGGGCTAGGGGAGGGAAGAGCCCCCAAGGCAGCCGGTGCTGTTTGTCAGAGGGACAGAGACCAGAAAAGAGGCTGCCAGAGCAGGGGTTGGGAGTCAGGCTGGATCTCTGCCCTGGTTCTGGCATTTACACGCTGCCTTCGTGATGGGGCAAGCTATTTAACCTCTCAGCGACTCTGGTTAGCTTGCTCATCTGTAGAATGGGATGGTAACAGGACGTGTCTCATGGGGATAGTTACCTGGATTCGTGGAGAAAGGGGGTCTTTGTTCAATACGTATTAGCTATGAGTATTATTCCCTAAGAGAGCCTGAGAGAATCAGGGGCGTGGAGGCTGTCACTCCAGACATTGGAGGGACCAGGGCAGGCTGAGAGGGTCCCTCCCAGCAGAGTAGGAAGCCAGCCTCAGACCTGCAGGACAAGTGGGCAGAGGGGAGACAGCTGGTCCCTCTGGTGCCCCTCCCTGGCACTGCTCACTGCTCCTCCTCTCTAGGGCGAAGATTTCTTTGCATTTGGCCAGGAGTTGGCCTCTCTGTCTCCCCCTCACGACACCCCTGCACTGGGCATTGGATTCTTGGTGAGCATGATGAACGTCCTGTGCGGCATCTCCACCCCCCCACATTGCCTTCTCCACCCATCGGCCAGTCAGGAGCTCAGTAGCTGCAGTCAGGGCAGACGTTGCTGCCGGCTCTGGCCAGCCCACCTGACCGCTTCCCTCCCCTCCCACGTCTCAGGCCCGGAGGGGGCACCACCTGGGGCTGGCAATGGGCCAGCAGCTCCTGCCAACGGATGTAGGTCTGGGCAGCTAGGTCCTTGAGTCTGGTCCGGTGCATGGCCTGCGGGCTCTCCCGGATATGGGTGCTGATGTGACGGTCCAACTGCATACAGAGCAGCTGCAGTTCTCCCTGTGGGGGGGGGGGTGTGTGTGTGAGGGGGAGGTGTGGCATGGGCCAGGCCCCTCCGCAGAAGGGAAGGAGGGGGAAAGAAATCAGAGCAAGAGAGGGATGGATTTGAATGACTGCTCAGAAGCAGGGCAGGAAAGGGAGGAGAGGAACAGGGCAGCTGCTGGGAGGTCGGGTCAGGATCCCTTGGGAATGCCTCGTGGGACACTGGGAGAAGGAGGGCGCCTGGCTCCCCTAGGCCCACGTCTTTCAGAGCCTCCCACTCTTTGCAGCTCCTGACAGCGGGCTGGCCTCCATCTCAGCCTCTTGGGAGACTCACCCATTGGTCTGGAGTAATGTCCTGGCAGCTGACCACCACCCCGGCCAGCATCAGCAGGCTGTGGCACAGGTAGCAGGCCTGGACAGAACACAGAGAGACGGGCTCCCCTAAGTCCGTCACCTCCAGACTCCGTGCTTGCAGGCCCGGCGGCCCGGGACAGGGACTCAGCCCACCGCTGGGCTTCCAGGCGCAGTTTCTAGGGAGGTGTCCTAATGGAGGGCTGTGGACCCCCTTGCTCAGAACCCTCCCTCTGATGGATGACTGTCCTCCCTTCGTTCAGAAAAAGAAGAAACCTCTGCCATCCAGAAACCCATCCTGTCACTCAGGCCTGTCCCGGGGGCCCAGCAGAGAAAGCCTGCTGTGGAAAAGGGCCCGTCCATCCTCACCTCTGCACCGTGTCTGTGGTCCTGCTCTGTTCCCTGAGGCACCCGTGTCAGGGGCCACGATTCTCTAAGGTGGGGGACATGGCCCCCGGGTGCCCAGCTTGCTCCTCGGCAGGAAACCCCTTGCACAGACAGATGTACAGCCCTGTGTGGACAGTCAAACCGTGTTGACTCAAAGAGGCCGGTGAAGAAAGGAGAGGCAGGCGGGAGACAGCTTCAGTTAAGCATCTGCACGCTTACCCTCCCAACTCATACCCTTGCTCTGCCCCCTCGACGTTCTGAGGGGTACAGACAGGACAAAGGCCAATTCCATCTGCTCAGGGAATGGTTGGATCCCAGGGTGCCCTGGAACTCTGTCGGCACCCATTCTTTGATGGGACAATCCAGACAAAGCGAGGCACGGGGAGGAGAGCACCCTCAAAGACAGGCGTGGCGTCTGCCGTGAAAGGCAGCCTGCTCCTGGCGCATCGAACTCTTCCACTCAGATGTGCCTGCCGCCTTGTCCCCTACAGACTCCTACGTCTAAGATAGGGAAGGTGGCAGGAAACACCCCCACCGTTGTGCCCGTTGCAGATAACTAGCTCTGAGGCCGCGCTGGGAGGGGAGAGGCGAGCTCCAGAGGCGGCCAGCAGGGCTGATGCATGGTAGTAACAGGGCTGGAGCTCAGAACCAGCCCAGGACTCCCCTGTGCCCCTACCATCCAGAAACAGCAGCATCCCCTCTGCACAGACCCAGGAGCCTCCTGAGGGCAGAAGCCAGAACCGTTTTTGAGGGCATCAGACATGGAGTACTGTCTTCCTAAACTCAAAATACCTCTGTGTAAAATCCTGAGACAGGAAGCCTCCCCCCCCCCCCCCCCCACCGCCCCCCCCCGCCCCCACCGCCCCGGCAGCACCTGTCTTGCCCAGGACCCAGCCTGCTCTTCAGCACCACAGCCAAGGCCACAGGCGGCCTGACCCCATAGTCTGGCCAGGATGGGCTGGCGGAAGACGCAGGGCAGGAAGCCCAGGGGACCACCGGCGTGCCTCCAAGCAGTGCCGCCCCAGGTTGGGCAAGAGCCCGTTCCTGAGCCAGCGGCACCTGCTGGGTCCTGCAGCTGCCTAGGCCTGAGTCCCCCAGCTGGGCTGGCTTGTCAGAGGGCCGGCTTGCTGGCAACCTGCTGCTTCCCCCAGGCTCCCCTTCCCCAGCCTGGCCTTGCCTTAAGGAGGTCCACAGCATTCAGAACTCCTTCTCACTCTGCAGTCCTGGCAAAAGGCTGCTGCCGACCGCCCCCCCCCCGCGCCCCCATAAAGCAGGCACAGGCCTGGGAGCCAGACGCTGTTCCGTACTAAGACACAGCCACAAACACGGAGACGTTAGAAGATACTTCAGGAAGGCAGTCATTGGGCCAACGAGTACTGAATCTCAACTTCCCCATGGACCAAAAAGAGAAAGGGTCCTTCTAGGGTTTGTTTGTTTGTTTTTTTTTGGTGGGGGAGGGGGTGAAATGCAGCTCTGAGGGCTTCAGGGAGGAAGTGACTCAGCCCAGCCCAGCCTCAAAGGAACAGTAGGATCTGAGGTGAAGATGGCCCTGTGGGGGTGGGGGCAGGGCCCAAGATTACACCATCAGACAGATCCTAGGGCTGATGCAAGAAACAGGCAGGGCACATTGGGGGACTGACCACCAGGTAGCTGGCTAGGCTGGGGCAGGGGGGAGGGAGGGGGCCCCCTGAGGACCGGGCTGGCCCCAGAGGGCCTGGACAGTGGGCTGTGGAGATCGTTCAGGGCTCTTGAGCAGGGAAGGCTGGGGTGTGGGGGACAGACTGCCCCCCCACCCCCCAGAAGGAGGCCACTAGAATCAGCTGGGATGGAATCCCACCAGAATGAAAATGTGGCTGTCTCTGACAGAAGGGACTATAGCACATCCTTCATCTTTTCTGTTCTAAGCTTATTTTTCTACAATGTGTGCGCTTTACTCGTATAATCTGAATACAATTAAAGTTTTTTTTAAAAAGTTAATTTAAAACGGGACAATACTAGTTATAATTGACTGAACCTCTTGGGTTTGGGGAGGGTGTGGGAGCAAGGGAGAGAGACGTGACCCTGAAAAAGAGCGACACTCTTATGACCCAGGCCCCTGTTGGAGAGGGCACTGAGCAAGCTGCTAGCAAGAGGTGGTGGTGGCAGGAGACGCCAACGAAAATATCCAGGGGCCATAGAGCGGGTGGGTCAGAGGAAGGCCCGGAGGCGTGGAGAGGCACCTGAGAGATTTCTGCATTTCAGAGACCCCTGTGCTGTGTACAAAGCCAGGGGCTAAAAGGGACCTTGGAGCCACCCTGGGATTGGTACAGAGGCCACTCTCTGTCCCTGGGGGTCTCCGGCACCACCGCCCCCTCGCCCCCACCCCACCCCGGGGCAGAATCTATCTTCCTAAATGGGAAGCGTGGTGAAGATGGGCCCCGGATCTGAGGAATGCCCTGGAGGAAAACTTGTGCAGTGGGGATTTACTGAGAAAAAAAGCAGCAGGACCAGGGACTACGGAGTGCGAGTTTCACAACTTCGTTCTTAACACTGATTCCCATCATTGAATCCAGGGGGAAAATCCCAGGGAAACTATTCTGAATGTGTGCTTTTGGGGGCAGGGGAGCAGGAATGGCAAGAAGGAAACGGTCGTTCTGAAGAAAATCCCTGTGAACCACGCGTTACCAGCTGTATTTCCCCAAGGGGGAAGAAAACCTTGCCCACTACCTACAAGGAAGGCTGAGGGCATTTTTTTTTTCCTTGCCCTCAAGGGTGATCCTTGGAGTTGGGCCCACGTGAGGGGAGGCCCTTTAAGGAAGACTTTGATCCAACTTAGGGGGATATAGTTCCATCTGTGCACAGAAAACCCCACAAAGACAGCAGTCTTTATAGTAGTACTTTTGGGGGGGGGAGAAAGGTTCCATACTGCATGGGAAGCGCCCAGCCCATGTGGTCCTCTCCGGTCCGTCCCCTAGACCCATGACCCCAGCATTGAGGAGAGGTAAGAGAGCATCCGATCCCCTCCAGACAACCCGACAGACAGTGGCACCGGGTGCCCGCAAGGCTTCTTGTGAACCCCACCCTCCCTCAGACTCCTCTCCCTTGCCCTGTTTTGTGAAGGTCTGAGAAGCAGACATTTAGCAGAACCTGGGGCTCTGGCTAGGAGGGGGCTGTACCCGAGCCTCCTTCCTCTGAGAGGCAGGCCCGGAGCACCAGCAGTAGTGGGGAGAGCGGGCCACTCCTGGGGGTGACAAAGTAAACAGCCAGGTTGTGGGAGCTGCATTTCCTGCTCCAGTCGCGCTGTGGCCGGCTCCTGAACTCAGCAAGCCCGTTCCTGTCCAGGCTGGCACCACAGAGACACGGGGCTCTGTCTTCCCTTTCAAGACTAGGAAGGGAAGCTGGCAGAAGCCATGCAGCAGCTGGGCTGGTAGCCGGTGAGCCCCAAGCCCCCTGCCTGCTCCCATTTCCTCCACAGCTGGAAGTGCAAGGTGGCCCTCTCCTCAGCCTGAGGCACCTTCCAAGTCCCCAGGGTCCTGTGTGTCGGAGGGGGTAGAAGTCAGTGTGGCTTCAGGGTTAAAGGGTAACGCAGAGACACTCCTTGGGGTTGGGGTGCGGGGGTGCTATGCTTCTCAGGCCTTCCGGATCTTGTCAGAGAAATGGGCCCCCACCAGCGCAGGCTGCCCAACTCTTCCCCCGCTGGGTGTCAGCAGGGGCTTGTTGGAAGCCTCTGTGGACAATGGAGCCCCGGAAACCTCAGGCAGCAACTTGGGGAAAGGCAGAAGGCGAGGGCAGAGTGGGACATGCCCGCACCCAATGCTGACGAGACGACACCGTCCCCCGCCAGCAAGGCCTGGAGCTATCACTTTCTGGGTCTCTCCCCAGAGTGGAGCAGGCCAACTTTTCTGGGAAGTTCTGTGCTGGATGCCTCCCTCCCGGCTCTAGAGCCTGAACGCCCTGCCCTCCCCCTGGGGAAGGACGATGAGGATGAGAGATAGGGCTTGTCACCCCGTGAGGCGGGGAGGAGGAGGGGAAGGTCAGTGTCTCCTTTTCTGGCCCGGCTAGTTCGGACCCCAGGAACCACCAGCCAAGGCTCCGTTTGCAGCGCTTTCGTCATAAGAAAGGAGGGAAAAAGGGTGAACATTTCCCAGACACTTCATCCTTTAGGAAATTCCCCTCCAGCTAATGCCAAGGGAGCAGGCTGTGGCCTGGGTTATTTACACTAAAATAGGGCAGAAAGGAGGAGGCAGAGGATCTCCCAGGAAGTCACTCTGGCCGGAACACAGTGGTTTCTCCCGCCTCAGGTCATGACCAAGAATCCAGGCTTGCCCCAGGCAAGTCTCCAAACCAAGCCCTTTCCCTGGAAGCTGCCAGGCTGGGTGACCATCCTGTGGGAGCAGGTTCAGCCAGGCTCTGGGGCAGCTGCTGGGGTGGGGGGCGGTATGGAGTCGGCGGGGGGGGGGGGGAGGCTGACTCAGGAACACCTGCTGGGGAAAACCAAGACTCACCCAAAGGACATGGTCTTCCCGGCCTGGCTGCTAGACCCAAGGGGCTTCTGCTCAGGATGCTGGCCCTGCAGACCTATAGGTGCCCGCTCCCTGCCTGGGACACCAGGACCCAAAGCAGCCTCCTTTGCTTTCACCTCTCCATGCTCACAGGCCCTGGGGGGTGACTGCCCGGGGTTGGCGGGGGGCCTGC